GTGGAGAAGGGTGCGGACACAGGGACAGGGGTGGAGAAGGGTGCAGACACAGGGACAGGGGTGTGGACACAGGGACAGGGGTGGAGAAGGGGTGTGGACAAAGGGACAGGAGTGCAGAAGGGATGTGGACACAGGGACGGAGTGGAGTGGCACCTGGGACATCTCTGTGCTATTTTTGTGAGTCTGTCATTATTTCAAAATAAGTATGTTGTGTGTTTAAAAGACATGAAGGGAAAGTTTTAAATTAGCTTAATACTTGAAACCATCTTTTAAATTACTACTCAAATGAACTCTCCAGTTTAAATATAAAATGCAGTGGAAAATACTGTTTGGGATAGCATGATTTTGATCACGCTCACTCACTGACATTCCCTTCTTTAGAGAACTGTGAGCCTAAAAACTGGAACCCGAAGCCTGACGTCCCTGAGATCATTGTCACGCACGCCTCCAACGAGAACCTCTCCAATTTCACCTCCACAGAGTCCGAGGAGCAGAACACCATCAAGGAGTATGCCCACTGGGGTCCCTTCGCCCGTCACAGGAACCCCAGCACGGTGGATGCCTACCACCTACAGGACCCTGAATGAACCTGCAGCCCTGCAGGAGGACGGCAATGGCTGGACAGCTGTCCATCATGTGAGACACTACAGCTGTCCCATGGTGAACTGGCGTCTGCCCTGGAGACCACCTGAACCGTTCCTGCTCCCAGGCTGTGTGCAGCCAGAGTGACTCATGCCAACTGTACCCTGTGGTTACAGTGACTTGGCAGGCTGGCCTCTGAGGCCATGGCTGCTCTGCTGAGCGTGAGCGGGGCAGCAGTTGACAACCTTCCCAGACCCTTTGGTTGCAATTTTAAGTGCTACAAGTAACAACCCCACACTTGAAGAGGGTGACGCTGTGTGAGATGTACCCCTCAGAGGCCCCAGTGCTCTGAGTTTGACTGTGGCCTGACCTGGTATTAAAGGGCCCATTTGGAGAATGTCAGGTCTGCATTGTGTCCAAAGTGGTGCTGACAGGTCACCAACAGTTTTGGAAGTAGTATGTCAGCTGTCTAGGAGAACTGAGCCATTAGGCAGGCCTGCCATGGCATCTGCTGCAATTATCCTCAGCTGACCACTTTCCCCTGTAGCTCTTAGGACAGGTGTGAGCCTACTCCGGACATCCTGATCTTCCACAAGTCCACAGTGGCAACAGGTAGTAGACATGCTTTGTCCTGCATCAGAGGCTGCCTTTGCTGACTGGGCTGACAGGTCCAGGTCAGCACTGCCCCTGGGTGGCAGCACAGCACTGGGGAGTAGACTGGGCTAGAGGCTGCAGAGGGCCCTGGCCTGTCTTCTGGGGCCCTGGAAAGTACGCAACAGTGTACGCACCTATGTGCATTTAATGTACACACGTGTACATACACGCTCATGTGTATATAACTCAAGTGATGATTAGGGCAGACAATGTTCCAGAATCAGAAAAGCATGAAGATATGACAAAGGTGGTTCTGCATAAGTGAGTTTTAAAACTGTCCCTGGGGAAGTCTAACAGAAGGAGCCCACTTTTCTTAAATGCTAGAGGCTTGCCACTTTCAGTCCCTGTGCCTGTCCTCACCTGTCCATCCTAGGTAGAACTGACCCACCTCTCGTTGGAGAAGTTATTTTTATTTGTGTGTGTGTGTGTGTGTGTGTGTGTGTGTGCCGTCAAATCAGATCTGACTGGTACAGGAGGAGATTGCCCCCCTTCTCCAGCAGAGCATTTGGTGGGTTTGAACCGCATACCTCTGGGATTGCAATGCAGCTTCTTGCCACTAGGCCGCCAGAGCTCCCTTGCAGAGAGGTTCTTAACCCTGGCATGGTGGGGATCTCTGATCTCTCTGTCCCCTGACATTCCCTCCACCCACGCATCAGAAGTCTGGCGCCCTGGTCCCAGGGCCGCGGGCCTTCACACCTGCTTCAGCCGGCCCCGCAGGCCCTGGGCCTGGGCTTCTGGCTCACTTACGTCTCCTTTACTCCTTTCCTCGGTCCATACTCAAAGTAGCCGCCCCTCCAATATGTCCATTCCCTCCCTACACTTGTTCCCCTTAGCATCTGCCGCTCTTCCACCATCGCCCTCGTGCACTGCCCGCCTCCGGCTAGGTCAGAGGGTAAGATGCCCAGAACTTGCCCGGGCGTCAGGCGACTCCGGAGCCCCACCGGCCATCCTCCTGTGCTCGCGGCCCCTTCGTCGCCCCAGCCGCGCCTGCCGCCGTAAAGCACGATGGCTTTAAAGCACAGCCTTTCCCAGGCTCGCCCGCCGCAGGTCAGAGGATCCCCTAGTAACCGTTGCTAAGGACAGACGCCCCGGAAGTGCCGCTCAGGGAACTTGATCTGCGCCTGCGCGCCGTGGAGTAGGGCCGGCTCCTGGCATGGCCGACCTCGAGCCGGAGCCGGAGCAGATCCGCCTCAAGTGCATCCGTAAGGAAGGCTTCTTCACGGTGCCCCCGGAGCACAGGGTACGGCGGGGAGCCGCTGGGCAGCTTGCGCTCTCGCCGGCGGCGGGCCGGGCGGAAGCGCGCGCGCTCTGGTGTCGCGCTCAGGCGCCGCAGTTTCCGGCACGGGAGGGCGCGGCAGTGCCAGCGTCGCTCGCGAGGGCGCGGATGGGGGTGGCCGGCGGGTGGCCGGCGGGTGGCCGGTCGCGGGTGGCCGGTGTGCGAGGGCCGCTCTGCGTTCCACTTTGTAGATGAGAAGGGACCTGAGCCGTTTGACAGCTCGCGGCGGGACGTTGGAGCAGCGGCGCCGGGGTGTGTTGGCAGGTCACGCCACCGCCTTAGGACATTCGTTAGCGGAGGGCAGCGCAGGAGTGGCGGGGTGTTTCGGGAACACTCCGGGAGGTGGGAGGGTGCCTTCCCGGCACGGGGAGCCACGATTTGAGCAGGAGCTCCCGGAGTCCATTTGCAGGGAGCAGCGGCGGGAAGGGAGATGGATGGAGCTGTGGTCATGAAGGCAGGGGCACAAGACCAGAGGGGCTTCCCGGGTAGGAGCTTTGCCACACGTTTCCCAGTTCCAAAGATGAGCACACCACGTGTTGAAAGGAGGGTACAGCTGCTGCTGCTACAGAGACCACCTGAATCCAGTGGTTTAGGTCGTCCTCCCTAACTCCAGAAACAGGCAGCCGCTTGCCCGAGGGAGGCGGGAACTCCGCTCACCTGTACCTCTTCAAATCCCAGCCCATCTCGAGGCTTGAGAAAAATGAGGCGCGCAGGCTTCTGCAGCTGGACGTCAGACTGCTCTCATCCCTTAGGCCAGAATTGAGTAAGGTGGTTACTTCTAGCTGCAGGGAGGGCTGGAACATGGACTGCCTGCCGGGTAGCCACTTCCCTCCAAAGATATGTGGATATAGGGGACGGTTCACCACCTCTGCCGCAGAACTGTCTCCACTAAAAAATACCTCGTGAAGCCCCTTGGCCTCTGTCTACAGAAACAAAACACAGCACTGCCCTTGGCCTTGTAGAGACATGAGCAGTGTTCTCTTTTCTGCCTCATCTGGTACAGCCACCATGAGCCACTTGTGACTGGAGCACTCGAGTGTGATTAGTGCAGCGGAGGACTTTGAAGTATCATCCACTGTGGAAAGTGGTATGGGATAGACACAGAATGGACATGAGAAGTGTCCACCCAAGGTTGTTCTGTGAGTTGTAAGAGAACCTTCCCCACCCCAGTGCATTCCTCTCTTTCAGTTGGGACGATGTCGGAGTGTGAAAGAGTTCGAGAAGCTAAATCGCATTGGAGAAGGCACTTACGGCATTGTGTGTGAGTGGCAGAAGTGCTAGAACCTACGCTGGTGGGCTGCCATGGGGGAGGGCTGGAAAGGTATTCATGCGTCGTCTCTGTGAATAGTGCAAACACAAACGCTAGTCAGCCTTCACTTTGCACACACCAGCATTCTGAAAACCTTAAATGCCAGGAGCTAACCCTTGGTGTTGTTTGTGAGGAATCACAAAATATGGGTGGCTGTCACATTAACAAAATGTAGGACTTCCAGGGCAGCCACAGGGTCAGCACCTCATCTCACCTGCACACGGTAGGTAGGATTTCTTCTAGACAAAGTGTTTTCGCTAAGAGAATATAGCAGAAGACGACACAGAGCAGTGATTCTGGCCCCAACTCAACAGAAGGCTTCTCATGGATGTTTCTTAACCTCTGGACGCCTGGTCCCAGCACAGAAATCTGTGCATAGGTACCACCTCAATTCCAGAAGTGCCCAAGGGACATGGCTGTGGGCTCAGTGTAGGTGCAGTGTCAGGGCATCCAAAGATGGATATAGACCCTGAGTTGGCAGGCAGAGCTCTGCCATGCCTGGATGTTGTGTGTGATAGGAGGGAGCTTGTGACCAAGGACCAGGCTGGTCTCCACTAGGGATGTGTTTCTCTTCTAGATCGTGCCCGGGACACCCAGACAGATGAAGTTGTTGCTCTGAAGAAGGTACGAATGGACAAGGAGAAAGACGGTGAGTGGAGGTAGTGGGGACTAGGGCTTCAGTGGGTCTCCACAGGTGGTTAGTAATGTTCTGAGGACTGAGCTCCCTGGGGACTAAGAGTGAGGGAATCTGCCCCTGTCCAAAGGAGAGTATATAGTGGTTAGTGGGGGCACACAAAGCCCACCTACCAGCCATGAGTGCACTGAGATAAAACCCAGTGAGGTCAGTAAAATGAAGTGTAGTGAGGTGGGCTAAGATCACGAGTGGTGAGGTGAAGTGCAGGGGTATGAGGGGAGGAGAGAGTGAGGCAAGGCAGAAGGCATGAGTTGAGGTAAATTGAAGGGTGTTGAGATGCAGTGAGCTAAAATGTAGTGACCAGAGATAAGATACAGTGTGAAGACCTGTGCCTGGTGCATGCTGACATGTCAACTGAACTGAAGAGCAAGGTGTCGTGAGGTTCTGGGAGGCGAGGTCATCTCCCCTCTCCTGCTGCCAGGGTCAAGCCCTTTGGACCCCAGAGGCCCCATGCCCTCCTGCTCACCTCCTCAGCACCCCACCCCGACACCCTACATCCCACACAAGTAGGGCCGCAGGTGCTGATTTGGTCAAAGGTTTAAAGTGTCATTTCCCTCTGCAGGGGGAAAGGTGCAGGGGAGGGGAGGGCCCCTGAGGCCTTATGGGCTGCTCATCGAGGCCCTTGTGTGCAGGGATCCCCATTAGCAGCCTGCGCGAGATCACCCTGCTCCTGCGCCTACGCCACCCCAACATCGTGGAGCTGAAGGAGGTGGTTGTGGGGAACCACCTGGAGAGGTGTGCAGCCCTCCCTCCTGTCCCTGCTGCTGTCCTCTGCCTGCTGCCTCTGCCCTGCTTGTTCTTGCCACTTCAGTGAGAAAAGGCAGGGCAGGACATGGCACGTCTCCTTCCTTTCCAGCATCTTCCTTGTGATGGGTTACTGTGAGCAGGACCTGGCCAGCCTCCTAGAGAACATGCCCACACCCTTCTCAGAGGCTCAGGTGAGTGGTAGGGGCACAGGGTCAGGGGACGTGCCCACTGCCTCTGTGACATGGCCTCACACTTTGGGGCGAGGTTTCAGGGTGCATGTTATGCCCACAGGCCAGGCTCCTCATGGACTTGGTCTATACCCTGGCCTCATGGATCCTGGTGGCATCTGAAGCCGTTAGATGACCACAGGTGCTGTCAGCCTGGGGCGAGCACATTCTCAGGCCTGTGCTGAGTGGCACCCCTCTCCATAGGTCAAGTGCATCACTCTGCAGGTGCTTAGAGGCCTCCAGTACTTGCACACAAACTTCGTCATCCACAGGTGAGCATGGGCAAAGAGCCAGGAGCTTTAGGGGCACTTGGGTGGGGTGAGTCTGTGATATGGGGAGGGGTCGTGTGTGGTCATGATGTCTGGGAGTTGACTAACTGCCTTGTGAGGAGGGGTCCTGGACCAGATCATTTTGAGGAGCCCTGTCCTCCGTCCAACAAGTGCAGGTGTAGAGCTCCCCTATGTCCTGTGACTCGTGCCAGGTGCTGAGAGGAGCGTGGCCTTTAGTGCCACATCTGGGGGTCTTCTGGGAAATGGCTTCACACACTTGCCCCCTTCTCAGTCATCACCCATGTGTGAGAGGTCCTCTGTGGCAGGCAGGGCATGTCACCACCACCGCCACTGGGGGGCCCATCCCTGGTGCTCATTGTATCTTGCCCACAGGGACCTGAAGGTCTCCAACCTGCTCATGACAGACAAGGGCTGTGTGAAGACAGGTGAGTCCCACACCTGTCATGTTCTCATGGGGTGGTTGTGATGATCCCACATGGTCAGTCTAGTGCCCAGCACTGCCCTACGTGAGCTTCAAGTCTTTGTCTCTTATCTCAGCGGACTTTGGGCTGGCCCGGGCCTATGGTGTTCCTGTGAAGCCAATGACTCCCAAGGTGGTCACCCTGTGGTGAGTCTTGTGGAACTGTGGTGGCCCTTATTAGGAGGGCTTTGTGGGTGGCAGGCTGGAGGTGCCTGGTCACAGCTCAGAGGGGTCCTGTGCATCTTTGAACTTTAGGACTGCACTCTAGGCTTGGGATAACAAAGCTCACGGGACAAGTGAGGCTGCCCATGGGAGGAAGCAGTTGCTGTCTCATATCCACCCTGCCTAAGTGGACCCTGGGGTGGGTTATCTCAGAGGCATGGCTTTCTGTGGATGTTTTATTTCGTTTCACTCTGACCTTTGGCTGGGTCCTCAACAGCTGTCTTATAGTATGTAACCTCCAGTGTTCCTGTGGAGACAAGCCAATGGTAGGCACAAGGTGGGCCAGATCAAGGGGTTTGTCTGTTGTGCAGGTACCGAGCCCCCGAGCTGCTTCTGGGAACCCCTACGCAGACAACCAGTATTGACATGTGGTGAGGAGGGGATGCTGAGGTGGGGGTGCTAGTGGCCGGGCTTTACTGGACTCTGCCAGCCAGAAGGAGAACAGGGACTGGGCTCTCCAAGTTTGGAGGTTCTCCTCTTGGTCTCTTAATATGTCCTCTGGCCCCAGTACTGGGGGTTGATGGACATAACGCTGGATGAGTGTGAGTAAAGCCCCTGCCCCCTTCCCAGGGCCGTGGGCTGCATCCTGGCTGAGCTGCTGGCCCACAAGCCTCTTCTCCCTGGTTCATCTGAGATCCATCAGATAGACCTCATTGTGCAGCTCCTGGGGACTCCCAGTGAAAACATCTGGCCGGTGAGTGCCAGGGCTGGTCCACCTGCTGTCCACTGGCTATGCCAGTTCCTCCACCTACTTACCATGCCTCTCAGGCCTGTGCCCACCCCTCACTGTTAGCTGGCTGTCAGCCCCCACCTCTCCGCAGGGTTTCTCGAAGTTGCCGCTGGCCGGCCAGTACAGCCTGAGGAAGCAGCCATACAACAACCTCAAGCACAAGTTCCCGTGGCTCTCAGAGGCTGGGCTGCGTCTACTTAACTTCCTCTTCATGTATGACCCCAAAAAGAGGTGCTGACCCAGTCCCTCACACTCCTGACAAATTGTGACCCCTTCCTCTGTGGGAACTCAAGTCTTGTCCTTTCCCTGGGGCTGAGAATAGGACACCAGAATAGGACTCCTCACACTGAGGGCCAGGAACCCCTCACTGAAGCCTCTTCTCCGCAGGGCAACTGCCGGGGACTGTCTGGAGAGCTCCTACTTCAAGGAGAAGCCCCTGCGTGAGTTCCTCCAGCCCTTGGGATCCTGCCCACCCCCTCAGCCCTCATTACTCCCATCCCGCCCCTCGCGAGCCACCTGCTGCCCTCTCGCTTGACCCCTCCCTGTGTCTTCCTGCACCTCTTTTCTCCTTCGCTGGGCCTACCTAATGCCCACCCTTCGACTTAGTACTGGGCCCATCCGGTGCCCATCCATCGCTCCACCCCAGCAGAGCACTTAGCCTGTGGCCTTTTGTCCAAGGTGGGGTGTCAGGGTGGAATAGCAACCTCACATTTGCCCCATGACCTCAAGGCTTTCATGTGGTTGGGGGTGCTGTGAGTCTTACGGGCAGAGGATACCCCAGGTCCAGAGGTGCAGACCCCAGGCACTGAGGGGCTTCTGTCCATACACAGCCTGTGAGCCGGAGCTGATGCCCACCTTCCCCCACCACCGCAACAAGCGCGCTGCCCCTGCCACTGAGGGTCCCAGCAAGCGTGGCCGGCTGTGATCGGCCAGAGTCCAGGAGTAGTCATGGCTGACAGATGGTGAAGGGAATTCTCGCCCTGCCCTTGGCCTTGGCGAGGCAGAGCCCCTACGGGCTTGATCATGAACAAGAGGTCTCTGCTCTCTCCCTTGGTGGCCACACCTCTGAGAAGATGACCCTTTTTGGTGGAAACACCAGTGTGGACCAGCAGCATCTTGAGGATCTCCTCCCAGCCCATTACCCCGACTTTCTGGGTGGGAAGGACACTATGGTGGGGACCAGGGCGGAACGTGGTTTCAGGTCTTCATGAGCCTCCTGAGAGATGGGCTCAGAAATAAAGCATCATGGACACAGTGTCACTTTAATGTGCTTCTGCAGCTCAGGATCACATGACATCCACAGGGGTCACCCCGAGTGCTGGTTGTAGGGGTGAGAGCTGGGACGCTGGGTAAAGAAGGGTTGCTGGTCAGGTGCGAAGAGGGCAGTAGTTGCCCTGTCTGGAGGGCTGCTGGCCTGCCTGTCTCGCCCACTGGTGCAGACCCACCACTGCAGTGTCAGGATGGTTGACCGGGACAGCACTCTACCCTCCCTCCCTGCCCCGCGGCCTCTATTCCCCTTTCTGGGTGCACAGCCTCCTCCACTCCTTCAGCCTGGCCAGGACAGACACTTGGAGGTAGTGCCTGGGGCAGGGGAGGGGCTGCAGGGATGTGGGTGACCTGGGCATGGCATGCAGGGCACAAGGAACAATGGGGAGGGCAGTGACCCCCTGTGGGGGAAGATGAGCACCCTGTCCAGCATGCACAAGCTGGGTCCAAGTGCTGGCCAGCTGCCTGTTACCAGCATGGTCTTGCACATGACTTCCCCAGCATGAGTGGACAGGCTTAAACCCAGATAAGCACCACTCAGTGACCAGAACTATTGATGGCTGCCATAGGGCTAAGGCCCGGCCTGCGGGGCACCAGCCAGGGCACCTCCCCTTGGGCGTGGCAGCCAGGTGTGCAGGGGAGGCTCAGCCAAGCCTGAAGGTGGTAAACAGCTGTGTGCTGGGAAGCTTTCAGGGCCAGCCACATCCATGTCAGACGGTGGCCCATGCTGCAGTGAGAGGAAACAGAAGGGGGCCAGCTCGGGCTCCTCCTCTGAGACCCGGTAGGGAGGGCTGTCACCCGGGGCCTCCCAGGCTGGGCCCCCCACACCCCACACCTGGGCACTCTGTTCCCAGAGTCTCCCCTCATAAGCTGGCCCTGTGGCAGGCGGGGCCACCATAGGCGAGGTATCCCGGTACACACTGGCCACCTCCTCTTCCTCAGAGCCCTCGTCCTCCTCTAGGCCCCGGTACAGGTCCAGGGAGCACCCGTATGTGCCAGTAGAGCTGCGTGGGGGCAGGGGAGGGGGCTCGTCAGCCCGGGTCAACCGCTGCTGCAGCCAGGCCACACAGGAGGCCACGTCCCCACTGGCCCGCCTGGCCGCCAGCAGCGCCTCAGCCGGCAGCAGGCTGGTGCCCAGTTGGGCCAGTACCTCATCCATGATCTCACACTCTAGGCGCAGCGCGTAACAGCCCAAGGCCACCTGCACCAGCTGGCAGGTGGGAGGCGGTGTGGTCACTGTCAGGCGGTGGTCGTCCCTCCGAGCATAGCCCATCCTCTGGAAGCTTCTGGTGAGGAGGTCCTCTGAGAGCGCGCCCTTCAACACGTGCACGTAGCCCCCGGAGAAGGTCTACAAGCACCAAAGCCACGGGTCATTTGCCTCTGCTTCCAGACCCCAGAGCTCTGGACCTCACATCTGGTCTGAATGAATGAAGTTTGGGGAGGGAGCCTCGCTCCCACCAGCTGGTGTCCCTGTGGAGTTCGCACCTCCCGAGAGTGCCGTTGCCTTGGCAACTGTTGGAGGCGCACCTCGCCCACGTGCACGGTGACGCCACTACCTCCCTAATCTGAATTAGCTCTAGATACCCAGCGACCCTGCCCCCTCCTACGGCCTGGCACCTCCCCCGCCCTGAAGGGGTCCCTCCAAGTCCTGCCTGTTTCATAGCGTGTGCTCCCCACGAGTCTCTTCCTTTGTACATAAGGTTCTGACAGTTTTATCCACTAGGATTAGATAACGCGAATCCCTCCCGCATACCTGTCCCAGAACAGGTATGGCGACTGGGGAGCAAGGCCCCTTTGGAGAGAACACGGATTTGTGCAAGTCTTACGGGACAGGGAAGCAGGCCTCAAGCCTGTCCTCTGCCTACCCTAATGGGCGTGGGCAGGGGTTTCTCCACCACTCTCACAGTCCCTGGACCTTCTGAGGCCTGCGATGTCCACCCCAAATGCCACGCCCCTGACCAACAGTCCTTACTTTCTACACCCTGGCAGAGCCGAGGCCCTTTCCCCGGGCGCCCTACCTTGATGGTGGTGAACTCCTTCCGCCAGGGGAGCAGGAACAGGTGCACAGCAGCCAGCTCCAGCAGCTCGAAGGCGCGGGCCAGGCCGCGCAGCGCGGGCCCCAGGTCTGCGCGTCCCCACAGGCCGTCAGTGAGCAGGGCCAGCGCGTCGTCCTGCAGCGCCCCGTGCAGGTCGAAGTCCTCCACCAGGATCTGCCAGAGCACAGCGCGCAGCGAGGGGTCTCCGCACACGCCCGCACGCCCGCGCCGCAGCTCGCGCTCCAGACACAGGCGATAGTCCTCGGACAGCGATGTGCTGCCCATCCTGGGGGCGAGGGGCGTTAGGGCCGGCGCCTCCCGCTCTGCACGCTGTGCGCGTTGCTCAGCTCCCTGACCGGCTTCAGCCTGGAGATCTTCAGCCCTGTCAGCTGCGCACCCACGGCACGCTCAGTCTCCTACATGGGGACCCCGGCCCCCCAAGCTGGATGCCCTACTCTATACGTTCACTGCTCCTGCTGTCAGAAAATCTTGACCCTCAGCTGAGCCCCTGCTGACCTCGGAGCCCTCTCCCAGCCAGCCATGCCGTGGGCCCAGCGGTAGCTGCTGGACGGTCTAGCTCACTGCTTAGCCTCAGCCGGCCCTCTACGGAGCACTTCCGCCAAGCCTCAACTCCACCTACTGGTCCTGACGTCGGGGGCCGGGCTTGATCCAAGTCCTGCCCCTCGCCGGAGCTTTCCTGGCGGATGCGGCCAGGGGACTGAGCTGAGGCAGGACGTTCGAACCAGTATACAGGCCTGCTGATGTGGACCAAGAGTGAAGCCAGCCGCTTCGCCGAGCAACTGCGTGATACTGACAGCAAAGCTTTCTCCGCAAATGAACGAGGACATTGCCAGACTGGCTGGAGAGGGCAGGCGTGGGGCGGAGCCAGGCTTTAGGCATAGCCAGATATGAGGGTGAAAGGGCCATAGGGAGAAGAGGGCGGGCACCGGGCAGGACCATATAGTGGTGTAAATATCCATCGTTGCTCCTCCACTAGTCAGAGCAGTGATTGGCTGTAAAGAGGCAGGACATGGGCAACGGCCCCAAAGAGCCACATCCGAACAGTGATTGGCCGAAGGGCAGTTAATTTAATGGGCGTGACACCCAAAACCCACTCATCTGAACGGTGATTGGCTAGTGAGCAAAGGGCGAGACTTTGGCGCACACACCTCTTGAGGCCCGCCCAAAGGGTGATTGGCCTGAAGAGGGGATATGAGCAGAACGGAAGTGACTCACGTACACATGGAGGTTTGAGCAGCATAGAGGTGATTCTTCCACCTGTAAGGTCCTTTGGAAAGGGGTGGAGAACACCCAACAGGGGACCCGTGGGTCCTGGACCCAGCTGGACGGATGGGTTATTCAAGAGGGTTTGGTCAGGAAAACCCAATTCGACCCCAATCCATGGGTAGCTTCTCTGGGGACACAGGCCCAGTCACCACTTGCCCTTGAAGGTCTTACTTAAACTCGGAGAAGGTGCCGCCTGTCTTCTTAAAGATACTTGTCAAGGTGGGTAAGGGCTGTAGTGGGCTGGCAATGAGAAGTAGGCCTGAGGGTTCAGTAACTCCTGCTATCTGGCCAGTCTCTTCCCCATGTTTATCCCACCCTGCCCACTCCATTCTCGTAGGGTTTCCTTCAGCACTCTAGCTGCTGGGGAAGGCTGGGTCAACTTCACCCTGGCATTTTCTGCCTCCTTGGTGGTCAGCAGGAGCTGTAATGTGCCTGCCTGACCTGCCCAGAGTAGAGTGGGGTGGAATAGACTAGGAAGGGGGCAACAGAAGTCACCTCTTTATTTTCAGTTTGCAGGTCAGCGTCCTCAGGAACATATAACAGAGTGGGCAGCTTGGGCACTCAGGCCCACACAGCTTGACACTGTGTGTGTGTTGGGTAAGGTGAGAGGGGGAGGCGGGAGGGGAGAAGTGTTTGTGTGTGTCTGGGCTCAGGTGGCTTTGCCTGGGTAAGGTGACTCTGGGCATCACAAAAGTAGTCCCTGTGCAAGAAATAAACCGCTTAGCTGCAGGGCCTGATGGGCCTGCCTCTGGCTTCTGCCAAGGTTCTGGTTCTTAATGCCAGGCAACAGGCTCAGGGCACTGGTAGCTACACAGATACTGCACCGTGTGTGTCACCGAGGTCTGGAGCTATGTCCACTGCCACGTTGGTGGACCACTGGGTGCTTATTCTGGGTTCCTCTTCAAACGCTCAGAGCTGGGGTTGAAAGAGGTGATCTCTGGTCCCCAGAGCTGCCGAGGCTTCTAGTCTTGATCAGGTGAGGGAGCACGCAGTGGACCACCCCAGAACTGTCCCATCACTGGGAGACTCCAAGGAATGTGGTGTCAGGGCAGGTGGGCAGCTTGTGCTGGCTATTTGCCCAGGGCCCCCCGGGGCAGCAGCTCCACGTAGCTCAGGGCACTCTGCAGTGATGTCAGGCAGTACCCCTCCTCTCCAATCAGGGACCTGCCAGGGATCAGCAGAGGCATGCTCACCAAAAGGCCATCCCAGGACAATGTCCCCTCCCTGGACAGCCCACTTCCCTGGCAGATGCTATGCAGAGAGCACAATGACAGGAGCCTGGTGAAGCCACTGGGAAGGCTGATCTCTGTTAACAAGACAGTGGACCCCACTTCTAGGGCTCATGCTGCTGGCCCTGGGATTCAACCCCTCCCCTCCCCCTTCTCCCCACCCAAGAGCTGGCTGCTCCCCTCCACACCCCAGCCAGGGGCCCCCACCCCTCATGGATGAACTCCTCCAGTGCTGCACACTCAGACACCAGCTGGGGCAGGCCGCTCCTCAGCACCACGAAGGACAAGATGGGCAGCAGGTCATCTGCACCACTGTGGGGTACAGGCAAGGCTATTAGAGGGTGCAGTGACCCCCACTCCCAGGACCCAGAGCCAAAATGGGACCAGTCTTGCTGGCACAGGCTCAGAACAGGTGATGTAGTGAGTAGGGTCCCTTCTCAAGGCCTAGGCCTCTGGGCAGGGGGAGTGTTGGGCTCACTCATTCAGCAACACCTACAGGGATGCCAGTCCAGGGACCAAGTCCTATGCCCAGGTGAAGCAACGTGGCCCCCCACTTCCGCACAGTTGTAAGGTGTGGGTGGTCCAGTGGTTACCTCCCTCCATTGGATGCATACCTGAGGGCCTACAGAGGTCCTTCTGGGACCCTGAGTTTCACCAGATGTCAGAAGAGTTACCCAACCTAGCCCAGCGGGCTGTCAGTGTCCTGCTGAGGTCCGCCCCTCCACTCACATTGCAGTGGTCCCGGACGGCAGCCTAGCCTCCTGGGCACGGCAGCAATCCTCTGCACAGGCACAGATGACCCGAAGGGCTCGAACTGCAGGTGCATATAGCCTTGGGTGAGAACTCGAGAGGGGGCTGGGCAAGGGAGCAAGAGCCCTGTGGGCAGGGCCAGGTGGGGCTGCTGGGGCCACTATGTTAATAGGACAGCATGCTGGAGAGGCTGAATGACAGGAGACTGCGTGCCCAACCCAAAGCCTGCTGCCGGCCCACCATCCTCAATATGTCAGCTTGCCCCTCTGCTCCTGCAGGCCTGCAGACAAGGGGTGTGTCACTCATTCTTGTGTCTGGAGGGGGACCTGGGTGTACTCTTTGTATCTAGAGAGGACCCAGGGTGGGTGTCACTCATTCTGTGTAAGGCAGGGTTCCCTCTCCCAGGGTTGACAGCAAGAGGGTCTGCAGCTCAGATGGCTGAGGTCCAGGTGGTCTTGAGAGCCATCCTGCACCCCTCCCTCACCAATGCACTCCAGCTTCTTCTGGGGGCAGCTCTCCAGGGCCAGAAGCCCCAGCTCCTGGACCGCAGCATGATAGGGGTAGGTGCCTGAGCCCTGGACCTCAGTGTCCTGGGGGAGGAGCTTGGCAGGGACTCCCAGGGCGGTGGGGGTCGCATTCCTGTACAGCTCCATGCTCCTGCTGAGGGCAGCCTCACGGGTTCGGTGTACGCTCCTGGGGCAAAAAAGCCACTCAGCCTCCAGCGTGGGGCTCCGGTCTGGGACAGGGCATGGTTATCAGGGCACAGCTTCAGCTGGATGGCTGTCAGCATGTCCCCAGCAAATGGCCCTGGATACTCTGAGGACCATGTCTCTCAGAGATGGGGAGAGTCCACTGATGGAGACCCTGGGATCGGAAAGATTGGTGGTGTGGTTTTACCCACAGTGGGGTGTAATCACTGGTAAGGTGTTTCCTGGGTCCACAGGGGGAAGTGACTAGTGGTGAGGTTCTGGTCACACCCACCTGTACAAGGCCAGCAGGGGAGCCCACAGTGGGGAGAAGAAGGCCTCTTCCATGCATGCCACGCAGCGGTCCTTGGCAGCAGCTGTGCTCAGCCCCTCGAAGGCCATAAAGGTCAGTGAGAGCAACCTGTCTGTGGAAGTGGATGCAGGCAGATGAGGCCATGGGGGATAGCTAAGGGTCAGGTAGTGCCACCCCACAGATCCAGCAGCTCACCCCAGACGCTTGGCCACCATTCTGGAGGGTCAGTGTCAGCATCAATCGCCCTCCTGGCCAGCTCCATGGTCTTCCCCTCCCATCACCTTCAAATCCACCCCATGCCACCTTGCCCTTCTTATACCCCTCGGGTTGGGAGGGGCCTGGGAGTGTGTGAGTTCTGACTGCAGGGCTCCCCTCTCAAGTGCTTGGAAAACCATGAGCCTGCACCCCGCAGATAGCCTGCTGTCCCAAGGCTGTCCTTTAGTGTCCACTACATTAAAAATTCCCACAGCCAGAGGACAGGAATGGGAGTGGCCAGCAGGCTGGGCTGTGAGTGGGCACCGTGGGGGTTCTGCAGGTCAGGGCTAGATCTGGCTGCTGTCCTGGGGAGAACCCCCAACCCACGGCCCAGGCCCAAGCCAACCTCACTGCCTCTGGGCCCATAAAGTCCAAAGAGGCCCTGCCCCTCTTTTGCTTCTGCTCATGATACCCCGTCCCCCACATCTCCAGTGCCCACCTTTCATCTATGTCCTTCACCTGCCCACATGCCCATGCATGGCCCCACACAAACCGATGGCATTGTGGATGTCCTTCACGGTGCTCTTCAGTGGCTCCAGCAAGGGGTGCCTCTGGGCTCCAGGGTTCTGCAGCTCGGACCGCCCCCCGGAGCCCATGCTCCATCTCTCAGACGTACTCAAGAACTGTTCCAGATCCTCGAAGGAGCTGTCCTTGTCCCGCAGACTTGATGCACTGTCCCCCAGAGGTGAGCGAGGCCCCGCGGGGCTGTCCGCTCCTCTGTGGGTGGGTCCGTCCGGGGGCTGTGGAACAGGCTCCGAGGGGCACAGAACGCAGTGTAAGCTCTGAGAGGCGCGCAGGCGGCGGCTCCCAGGGGCCACAGGCCCGTCCGAGGGCACTGAGCTGCTGCCAGGGGCGCACACGCTGCCGAGGGTGGTCCTGCTGACCAACGGGTAGAGTGTGCTGTAGACAGCGCTCTGGAGCTTCCGCAGCAGCTGCGCTATGGGGTGGTCCGGCAGGCTGCGGAGAGGTGTGGACCGCTGGTTCGCAACCGCCCAGCTCGATAGCAGTCACCCCTACACCCCCTCCACAGGGCTGCCTCGGGAAGGCTGCAGGCAAAGGTGGCTGGCAGCCGGCACTGTCTGGGCTTCCTGCACAGTGCAGGCCTGTCACCCTTCTCAAGGACCCAAGGCCAACAGGTCCAGGTGCCTGGACCAGTACCTGAGGAGGTGGGACATTAAGTTGGTCACCAGCGACAGGTCCCCAGGGCTCCTCTTGAGCTTGGCTTTCCAGAGCTTTGGCCAGTCCTGCAGGACACGGGGCTTGGGAGAGGCCACTTCCCAGGACTTAGAATCCCAACCCCAGCCCCAGGGCTCCCTGGCTCTGCCCCTCCCTCATGCGTGCAGGACTCACGTGGTCCTGCTCGTACTCGAGGACCGCAGCATAGACTGCGCGCTGCTCGCGCTCCTCCTGGCTCAGGGCCACCTGGCTGCAGAACCTCCTGAGGGGACACAGGTGGGCTGTGGCTGAAGGGACAGCCCTCACCCCAAGGCTCTGTGTGTGTGTGTGTGGGAATGCAGCCCTGGAAGATGGGGGCAGGGACACACCTGTTGGAAGTGTAAGGGCACACCTACTGGGGCTTGAAGGTTTAAGGAGGGCATCTGCTGAGGGTGCAAAGGGCACACCTGTTGGCTGCTTCCTGTAATCGCAGCCGGCGCTCTTCCATCTTCCTCTGGAGCTGGACACAGGTCAAGGAGCCTTCACTGGCTGACCAGCCCTGACCCTCCTTCACTGCACATGTGCACTGCGGGCACGCGGGGACCAGGAGGGTGTGCTGGACACAGGCTCAGTGGCTGAACTGGAGATGGGCGCTCACATGGGGCAGCTGTTCCCAGGAAGATGTATGGGGAATGGGACATGGAGGCGAGAGCCGAGAACAGGGTAAGGGGAGAACCCCTCCTCTCCAAAACTCCGAGCACCCACCCCAGACCCATCCTCCCACCCACCCTCTTCCCCATGGCTGCACTCCCAACGTCTCCGAGGGACACTAGGAACAGTCAGAAAGGGTGCTGTCTCCTCTCGAGCTTTGGCAACCACCAGGTTCTCCATCATCTGCCGTTGCAGGGACAGGGTCTAGCAAGGGAAGGCATGTGTAAGCCACTCCAGTTGGCCCCCAGTTACCCTCCATCTCCAGGCCATCCCCAAGGCAGCTCACCAGGGACGTCTTCTGCACAGCCTGGCTGGGATCCAGACGGGCCATGCGGGCCTCGTAAGCTGCCTTCAGCTTCTGGTTCTGCAGGGAGGCCTCTTCCAGTGGTGTCAGCTCCCTGGAGATGGGGACAGCAGCTGTCCAGTCCCAGGAAGCCCAGGGGTCACGATGATGCTCCCTCCCGCCCACCTGGTTCTGAGACCTGGTTTCGGGGGGGTAGTGACAGGGAAGACCATGTGTAGAAGGGAGTTCTGGGGTGACAGCTCCCTGAGAAACTGTGGGCCTGGTATTTGGTACTATCAAGACTTTTATTTTTCAAAAGCAGCGAGAAATCTGAACTTTTATGAAAAACTAGTTATACACGTCTGGCAAATAAATGGAACTCTTTAAAAAGCACCATAAGGGGCTGTATATCTAAGTCTGCAACATGCATAAGTGTTTGATGACACTGACCCACAGCTGTGCCACCAAGAAAGCTTTCAGTCCTACATACATGTCTTCCTGTCTTCAGGACGCAGAGGGTGGGCCAGCAGAGAAAGCCTGTCTGTCCTAGGAGGGGAGTCTCCCTGGGCCACCCATAGAACCGCTGTGGAAAGGAGGGGCCCCGGAGTTGCAGGGAGCCTCCTGGAGACCCAGGAGGCCAGGAGAGCACTGCCTTTGTTCTGTGTGGAAGTCACTGGGTTTCTTGCATTTGTATCTTGGTGTCTTTCAAAAATTTTACGAAACTGTCCAGCTGCTTCCAAATAATGACTGTGCCTTCTAATTGTTTCCTCTCCTCTGAAACACCAGTGAAGTGCCAGGCCTTCTAGCTCTTTTTTTGTATCTTTATTTATTTTTCTTTTATGGAAAATTATAGGTTCCTCTAACTTCTTCCTAATTAACAAACTCTTTTTAGCTCTGTCTACACTGCTACTGTAAATTTGTCCACCCAGGGGGTTTTATGTTGTCCTTTTCTTTTAGCCTTTTCATTTCTGGGGTCAGTTTCTACTAGAAAGTAGTTTAATTTATTTATTAATAGATTTTGAAAGTAACTCAGTCACTTTTTTAAAAATTTCTGTAAGTCTTTATCTCTAGTATTAGATTCTATGTTTTCTCCTTGATACAGAAAAGAGACTTCATTTAAGCTGTTTCTCCTGCAATGCTATCTAGAGACTTCTGCAGGTCTGTTTCTGCTGTCTCTCTTTCCAGTGTCTTGTTTTCTTACTGTTTGTCATTCATTTTTAGAAATATGTAGTGTGACTGAGCTTTCTGTGGTCAGCTCATGCTACCTGACCTCTGATCCCCCAGCTCAGCCCCATACCCCATCTGGTCAGTCCATCTTACTTCTTAGAGTTTGTCGACTCTACCATCTGAAGCTTCTGAAAGATCTCAGGAGGTAGAAAGGGACAGAGCTTCCCACCTTCATCTGAATACACCCGGCGGTGTCGGCTGGTTGGTGAGGGGACTGCAGTAGTCACAGGCTTGGCTGGCTTCAGGCACGGTTTCCCTGGGAGCCACATACAGACAAGGGTCAGTGATGGATGTCCAGGTTCCATAAGGAGACACCAACTGGGGCTACCAGGAAACCTCCTCCTGGAGACCCACCCAGCTTGGCAGCAGTTGACCGGGCCCTCTCCAAACACTGCTCAGCCAGCTTCAGCATCTTTGAGGTGTCTGGGGGCACTGTTTCCTCAACTTCTGGGGAGCAGGAGATATAAAGGCAGTTAGTTCACCTGTCATCAGCTCCTTGCTGAAGTGAAAGCTAGCCATGCGGAAGGTTTCTCTCTTGACTCCAAAGCAGGTTGTGGACTTAGCCCAGCCTCTGCCTGGCTCTCTCGCCTCCCTTTCTTTGCTTCTCACTGGGGCTTCACCTGAGCCCCCCAACTCAGGCAAGATAAGCCCTGAGGCCCTGTGTCATCTGACACCGATTTTCTGAGAGCACAACTTTACACTCAGCACCCCCTGGTCCATCTGTGTCTGCACAGGCCTGCCTGCAGGCGCCACTCACAGTACTCAAGGCCTTTCACTCTCATCAGAATGACTCCCTGCCTGCCCTGAAGCCTAGGGAGCTCTGCACAACTGTCCAGTTCTGACAGCTTCTGGGACAGCCTCTCCATCTGCCTTCTGTGAACATGCCACCCACTCCTACCTCAGGGCCTTTGCACAAACCTCTGTTCAGAATGCTCTCCCCAGACCTTATTCCTCCATCCCTCAGTGGGCATAGTGCCACTGCCTCTGGGAGGTTCTGTGACTCCTCCACAATGACCCACCCACTCTCATCCTTTTGCCCACATAACCCATCCCTTCTTGCCCCTGCATCACACTATGGTGGCCAGTACTTGCTGAGTGCCGCTGGTTTGTCATCTGCTACTAGCCATGATGACAGGAGATGACCAGGGCTAGGACTCACCCAAGGCTAAACTCTGGGGATGGGCCTGGTGCAGGGAGGAGCCTCAAGGCTGAGAGCAGTCATACCTTTGGTGGCTTCGGCCTCTTCCAGCAGAACCTGGGAGATGTAGTGGATGCTCCTCAGGTATTCTATATATGCCTCCTGTGCCCGGGGAAGAGAAACAACAGGAGTCAGGCTCGCAGAGGTAAAAGAGTCCCTTGCACCTGCCTGGTGTCCTAATGGGAAAATGAAATTCCTGGTCATCGTGAGCTACTGGAGGCATCGAGTCTACACCACTCTCACTTACAGCCGTCAAGTCAGAGATGGTGCAGAGCTGACACTCCAGCGGGTATTCTGAGGCTGTGAATCACACAGAAAGCTGTGCATTTTCCTACCTTGAACCACCAGAGGGATGCTGCCACAGGGTTAACACAACGACTCCCTACAGACTCTGCCCAGAGTGTGCCCAGTCTGAGCAGATGGCTTTCAGCCCAAAACGGGCCTAATCAGGTAGTGTCCATCAAACCATTCCACACCTGCAAACAATGCCCAAGCACTTCTTCCTGGAGGCCTGTGGCACCGAGTGCTGGGGCAGGTTGCCCTGCCCTCTCCCTACATCTCTCTGGCAAAACAGGGCTGGGAAAAGGCTCAGCATTGACTCTCACTTTTCTCTTTTATGAGATAAGTTGCTCTTGAACATAGAGAAATTAAAGTGAAAGAGAGAAATGATGAAATGAGAGCTGAATGAAAGAAAATGAAGGCTCCAGGAACTGATGAATATTACCTAAAGTGTTTCAGCACAGGTGGCCCTGGATGTGCCCCCTCATCTGTACCAAGAAATCTGGAAAACAACTACCTTCCCAGCTGACTCAAAGAGATCCCTATTTGTTCCCATTCCTCAAAATGGTGATCCAATGGAACCAGAAGTTATTGAACAATATCACTAATATCAATAAAACACACAAGTAAAATACTTCTATTCCTTTAAAATGACTCCAGCAGTACACTGACAAGACAGTGGAAGAAATTCAAGTTGGACTTAAAAGGAATTGTTGCACCAGGCATAGCACTGCTGTTAGATAGCCTTTGGCTGAAAGCATGAAATACCAGAAAGATATTTATTTGTATTTTATTGAATATGCAAAGGCATCTGACTGTGTGGATCATAACCAATTATGGATAACATTGAGAAGAACAGAGATCCTAGTGAAATCTATAGACTAAGAGGCAGTTTTTCCAAACAGAACAAAGGAACAATGTATAGTTTAACATCAGGTAAGGCTTGTATCAGAGTTAAATCCTTTTTCCGTACCTATTTAATCTGTATGCTGAGAAATCTTTTGAGAACCTAAAACTATGTAAAGAAGAAGGAGGAATCAAGATTGGAGGAAGATTTAACAACCTACCCTATGCAGATTTGCTTGCTGAAATTTCGCTTGATGAGAGTGAAGATTTTAAAAGCTCACTGAAGAAAGTCAGATTACAGCCTTCAGTATCAATCAACATATTTCAAAAGACAGCCGCTGTCCTGGACATGCTCACCAAGAGGTGTCAAGAAATCTGGAGGACTGGTCAACAGACTGGAAGAGATGCACATTTTTTCCCATTCCAAAAAAGGGTGACCAAATATGGTCTGGAAATTATTGAATAGTTTGAGGAGGACCTGAAGTGCTTGCTGCAGAAGATCAAGGTCTGCAGCGTTCAATGTAGACTGAAGCTTGACATCAAGAAAACAAAGATTCTCACCACTGGGCCAATTGGTAGCATCATTATGGATGGTGAAGAGATTGAAATTGTTAACAGTTTTGGTTTGCTTGGCTCCCCAATCAACGCTCTTGGTACCAGCAGCCACGAAATCAATAGATGAACTGCACTGGGAAAGTTGGCTGTCAGAGACCTCTCCAGAGTACTGGAGAGCAATGATGTCAGTCTGGAGACTGAAGTGCACCTGATCCAGGCCATGGTCTTTGCAATTGCTTGCTATGCATCAGAAAGCTGGACAATGACGAGGGAAGACAGAGAATTGATGCCTTTGAGCTGTGGTGCTAGAGAAGAGTGTTGAATATATCATGAACTGATAGGAGAACAAACAGGTTTAACCTAGAGAAGGTGAAACCAGGCTGCTCCTTGGAGGCAAAGATTCTGAAGCTCCATCTGATATACTTTAGACATGCTGCAAGGAGGGACCGATCCTTGGAGAGGGACATCATGCTTAGGAGGCTGGAGGGATAGTACAGGAGAGGAAGGCCCTCGATGAGATGGATTGATTCAGTCACTGGGTTAATGGAAGTAGGTGTGTCAGAGACAGTGATGTTGGCACAGGATACAGCAGGGTTTATGGCTTTTGTACACAGGGTCACTATGACTTTCAAGCGACTCAAAAGCACATGACAACAAACAACATCACTGATATCACATGCAAGCAAAATCCTGTTAAAGATTATCCAAAAACGACTGGAACAGTCCATCAACAGAGAGCTACCAGAAATACAGGCTGGATTTAGAAGAGGCTGTGGCACCAGAGACATTATCACCAATATCACACAGAGCTGAAAACAAAGACTTCTAGAGGAATGCCTATCTGGGCTTCACTGACTATGCAAAGGCATTTGGCTGTATGGATCACAACAAACTGGCTAATCGTGAGAAGAATGGGAATACCACAACACTTGATTGTGCCCATGCAAAGCCTGTACTTGGGACCAGGAAGCAGGGGTCAGAACAGGGCAAGGAAACACTGCATGGGTAAAAATCAGGGAAAGAATGTCAGAGATGCATCCTGTCTTCATACCTTTTCAACTGATACATGGAACAGATTATTCAAGAGGCTGGACTGTATGAGGAGGAATGTGGCATCAGGAGTGGAGGAAGACTCATCAACAACCTACTTTACACAGATGACACAACCTTGCTCATGGAAACTGAGGAGGATCTGAAGCGTTTGCTGCTGAAGGTCAAGGACTATAGCCTTCAATATGGATTGAAGTTCAACATCAAGAAGACAATGATTTAATCTTCAGAAGGTCCCATTCATCAATTTTATCCTCTTCAGATTGTAAGTTTCTGGCTGTATTTGGCAGTCTCTTATCACTGTACCAGTACCATGCTATTATCATGGTGAAAAGAAAACCTACGGACTGGGAACAAACACTTGGTAATAACCATCTCAGACAAGAGTCTCATAACAAGTTTACAGAATACCCCTGGGCCTCCACAAGAAGAAGAATGATAACCCAATTATAAAATGTGCAAAAGATATGGAAAGAATTTTCCAAAACAACTATGAGATACCATCTCACCCCACTAAGAGGAACAAAATTTAACAGAACAGCAAACAACAAATGCTGGTGAGGTTGTGGAGAAACTGAAACTCTTATTCACTGTTGATGGGAATGTAAAATGGTGCAACCACTGTGGAAGGCAGTATGGCGTTTTCTCAAAAAGTTGCAAATAGAAATACCATTTGATCCAGCAATTCCACTACTTGGAATATACCCCAAAGAAACCATAACTGTCACCCAAGCAGATATATGCACACCCATGTTTATCACAGCTTTGTTCACAATAGCAAAGAGTTGGAAACTAAGTGCCCATCAACCAAAGAATGGATAGAGAAGCTGTGGTATATTCACACAATGGAATACTACGCTGCATTGAAAAGCAAGGAACTCATGCAATATTATTCAAAACGGATGACCCTGGAGGACATTATGCTGAGTGAAATATCTTAGTCACAAAAGAACAAATACTGCTTAGTGCCACTGCTGTAAAATGGGACTGACATAGGGATTTGGGGGAGACTGAGAAGGATGGGATAAATTATGTATACTGCATTGAAACAGATGAGAGAGAGAAACTGTTTAAAAGGTATATATGATTAGGTATTATTGTCATGACATGAGTCCAGAATGAAGGCTGCATAGTGGAGTGGACTTGGGAGGAGGGATTCTGTAACAATGAAAAGAATTTTTCTTTTACTTTTCAAAGAGAAGAAAGAACTGGACGGGAGGGGTGGGCAGGGAGAAAAGTGCAACAATGAATGAATGGAAATCCAAAATCTCTGTAAATTTGCACTAAAATTAATAGTAATGATAAAAATAAATTGATTTAAAAAAAATAATTTCCACAGAGGAAGATATTCAAATGGCCAACAGACACATGAAGATATGCTCCAAATCATTGGCAATAAGAGAGATGCAAATCAAAATCACAATAAGATACCATCTCACTCCAGTAGCAGTGGCAAAGTGTAACAAAACGGCAACTAATAGATGTTGGAGACGATGTGGTGAGAGAGGGACTCTTATACATTGTTGGTGGGATTGTAAAATGGTACAACCATTCTTGGAGGCAGTTTGGCGCGTCCTCGAAAAGCTGAACATAGAAATTCCATATGACCGAGCTATTCCACTGCCTGGAATATACCCTGAGAAAATGAGAACTGAGGCACAAACGGAGACTTGTTCACCAATGTTCATAGGAGCATTATCCACCATCGCAAGAACAAGGAAACAGCCCAGATGTCCAACCACAATAAAATGGATTGAGAAATTATAAATGGTACATTCACACAATGGATAACTACACAGGATGAAGGGGCAATGAATTTGTAAATTATTATCTAACTTGGGATGGACTGGAGAGCATTATGCTGAGTGAACTAACTCAATCCCAAGGACAAACATTGTATAAAATCATTATTGTGGAATGAGTATGAGGATCCAAGGGGGGGGGGGTGGAAGCAGAGGGGATGAGGATGTGTGGGGGCAGGGGGATTAATCATGGGGTTGTACAATTTTATGTGGGGGGCGGGGTAAGGGAAATTGGAAGAATCTGGTCTGAAAAACAATGTATTCGAATTTTGTAAATAAACTAGTATAAAACAAAAAAAAAAAGACAAGATTCTCAGCACTGGGTCAACTGGCAGCATCATGATAAATAGAGATGAGACTGAGGTTAATAATTTCAACTTGCTCAGCTCCACATACAACACTCAGGGCACCAGCAGTCAGGGAATCAAAAGATGAATTGCTCTGGGGAAAGCTGCTATCAAGGATCTCTCAAAAGTGCTGAGGAGCAATGATGTCAGTCTGGAGATTAAGGTGCACCTGATCCAGGCCATGGATTTCGCAATTACTTGCTATGCATCAAAGAGCTGGACAGTGACAATGGAAGACGGAAGAATTGATGCCACTGAGTTATGGTGCTGGAGAAGAGTATTAAATATACCATGTACTGCCAAGAGAATAAACAGGTCAGTCTTGTAGAAGGTGAAGCCAGGCTGCCCCTTGGGGGCAAGGATTTTGAAGTGCCATCTCACATTCTTTGGGCATGTTGCCAGGAGAGGCCAGTTCCTTGGAGAACTGCTTGGAAGGGTGGAAGGTCAGCATAGGAGAGGAAGACCCCGGATGAGATGAACCAACACAATAACTGGGGTAATAGGTGTAGGTGTGTCAGAGACGGACTGGCTCAGGATAGAGCAGGGTTCAGCGTTTTTGTACATGGGGTCACTATGAGTTGCAGGTGACTCAATGGCACATAACAACAACAACATGGGTTACATCTGAACATCAAGAAAACAAAATCCTCCCAACTGAACCAATAAATGACATTATGATAAATGGAGAAAAGATTGAAGTTGTCAATGACTTCATTTTACTTGGATTTATAATAGCCACCATGGAAGCAGCAGACAAGAATTGAAATGACATGTTGCTCTGGGCAAATCTGCTGTTCAAGGACCTTTTTAAAGTGCTGAAGAGCAAAGATACCAGTTTAAAGCAAAGACATGCCTAACCAAGCCTGCTATTTTCAGGTGTTTCAGATGCATGTGAAAGCTGGATAATTTACATGGAGACTCAAGAAGAATAATCTATGTCTTTCACAAGAGTCCACAATTAAGGTTGCATAGTGGAATGTACTTGGGGCGGTGGGAGGGGTGTGGGGGGATTTTGTACCAGGGAAGGAGTCTTTCTTTTACTTTTGAAAGAGAGGAGCGAACTGGGGGGCGGGGGAAGAGGGCTGGGCGGGGAGAGAAGTGCAGCAATGAATGAATGGAAATCCAAATTCTCTGTAAATGTTCATTAAAATTATTAAAAAAAAATTAAAAAAAAAAGTGGAAACAGTGGACATTCTTGTCTGGTCCCTGTTCACAAGGAAAATGCTTTGAGACTTTCTCCATTGAGAATGATACTGGCTCTTGGTTTTTCCCTATATATTTTTCACTATGTTGAGGAAATTCTCTTTTACTCCTATTTTGTAGAGTATTTGAACCAGGAAGGGGTGTCGGAGTTTGTCAAATACCTGTTCTATATATGGTTCTTGTTATTCACTTTGGTAATGTGTTGAATGAGGTTGATTGTTTTTCTTATGTTGAACCATTCTTGCATAACTGTTATGAATCCCACTAGGTCTTGACGGATTATTTTTTTGTGATGTGATGCTTAACTTGGGACAGACTGCATTATGCTGACTGAACTAACTTGGTCTTATAAGGACAAATACCGCATAAGATCATTATTGTGAAACTGTAAGATTTGTAAAACATGTATGGTGATCCAAGGGCGGAAGTGATGAGAGAAGAGGGGTGTAGGGATGAAATCACAGGCTTGCACAATTTGGTTGGTGGAAGGAGAGGGTGAAGGAAATGGGAAAGATCTGATGGGGACCTGAAAAGACTGAGTAACGGTGGCATAGTTCAGTCGTGATTAATTTCATAAAATACAACGTATGGGAATGATTGTATAAAACATAATGTCAATTAAGAAACATGAATGTATAGGAAAAATATTTTTAATAAAAAGTAATAAAATGAGAAAAAAAAAAGAATAATCTATGTCTTTGAACTGTGGAGTGTCCAGGAGTTCTGAGTATTTCATGGATGCCGAAAGAACAAGTCTGTGTTGGAAGAAGTACAGCCAGAGGGCTCCTTAGAGGAAAAGATGGTGAGACTTCATCTCTTACTGTGAAGAGGTCAGGAGGAGCTTGTCCTTGAAAACACTAGGCTTGGCAAAATAGAGGTTCAGTAAAAATGCGGAAGATCCTCACTGAGATGGACTGAGGCAGTGGCCACCACCATGGGCTTATCCACAGCAGACACTTGAGGACCGCCGAGGACTTTGTTCTTCTGTACTCTAAGGGCTTACTTGACAGCACCTACATGAAGGAATGTTTCTTACATGTCACGACTGAAGAACCAATAATTCAGTGGCTTCAAAAAGCACTTGCTGGAATACTAATGAGGGGATGAAGTTGTAAATTTTAGAATCGCTTCCTGCCTTTGGCTCTGGGAAATCCTTTGTGCGTTCCGGGGTGAGTGCGAACGCCAGAACAGAGCGCTCCTCTTCTTCCAGGTTCAGGGAGCAAAGTTCTGGTATCTTTTTGGTTTTGGGAACTCAGTTGTCTGGTCATTCGTCTTTAAGTGGGCGTAGAGACTTAAGCACCCCGGTGGGTTCCGGCTTGTGGGGACCTGCTGGCCTAGGTAAGTCCCGGGAAAAGCAGCAGGGTGCCTGGCGTGGCACCGGGAGCCTTCTCCCCGCCCTGGAAGGTCCACTGTGGTCCAGCTGGCCTCCACCCGAGAGCCAGCTTCCCATCTCAAGAACAATCAGCTCCCACCCTGCCCACATTTCCTTGCAAACAAACCCAGGAGATGCTAGAAACGGCAGCAAAGCCGCCGCGCCCGGCAGGCAGTTAACCTTTGCCGAATGCGGTCCCCTTTGGGAATCTGGACGCTCACACGCCCTGCAAAGTGGAGGTCACCCCACAGGCATGCCCGAAGCCCTCCGGAAACGCGCCCACAGCTCGGATTCCCGGGCAGACGCCGACGCGAGGCCGGAGGCCGAGGGCTGTCCCCGGTCGCTCAGGAGAGCGAGGTCCGAGCCCGCCTTCTGTCCTGCTGGCCGTGAGCGCCCCAAGTGCCCAGCCCAGGGGTGCCGAGCGCGACCTCCGACGCCTGACCAACCAGCCCTTGCCCGTCAGCTTCGGGCGCCCCTACTCCGCCCCGGGGCTGCCCTCCGCCAGGCCCCGCCCCTGCCTCCACCTCGCCTCACCCGGGGTCGGTTGTTGGTGTCCAGTTCGATGGCCCCGTTGGCCAGCTTCATAGCACTCTGCAGCGGCTTTATCGCGACGTCCCCGGCCGCAGCGGCCATGGCGCTGGGCGGGGGACGTGATGGTGGCGGCGGCGGCGGCGGCCGAGGGGCGGGGCGGGCGGCCCGGAGGCCGGAACGCTAGTTGCGCAGGCACACGTACGCCCGAGCCACGGACCGCCGGAAGGGGTTGGCCCTGTTGGAGCACTTCCGTCCTGTTCCGTGGGCTGTGAAGGTGTCGCAAAAGTGCACAACTTGGAGGTGCGGCGGTGCGGGCTGTACCGGTGCCTCCGCCTGCAGCCTTGCGTCCCCTTTCGGGAAAAGGGGATTGGTGACGACCACCACCCTCCCCCCACGTCGCTGTCTGGAGCGCCAGAGCCTTTGTTCCATGTTCTTCAATCTCCTTTTAATTGCTGACAACCCTGAGAGTTGCATTTAAGGGTTGAATCTTTTCCTGTATATGTTACGTGCCATCAAGTCACCTACGACTCATAGCCACTCAGACTACAGTAGCTCTGAACCCTGCCCTGTCCTCAGCCAGTCTGTCTCCGACACACCTACCCCCATTACTCCAGTTACTCTCAATCCGTCTCATCCCGGTCTTCCTTTCCTGTGTTGTCCCTCCACCCTTCCGAGCATGATGTCCTTATCCAAGGACTGGTCCCTCCTGGCAACATGCCCAGAATATGTGAGATGGAAATACACACATACACACACACATATAAATGACGTATTGCGATGGGAAAGTCTGCTTTTAGGAACCTCTCTAAAGTACTGAAGAGCAACGGTGTGTCTCTGGAGACTAAGGTGCGTCTGGTACAGGTCATGGTCTTTGCAATCACTTGTTATGCGTCAGAGAGCTGGACAATGACCAGGGAGGACGGAAGGAAAACTGATGCTTTTGAGGTTTGGTGTTGGAGAAGAGTGCTGAGGGTGCCATGGACTGCTAAGAAAACAAACAGATTCAACCTGGAGAGGGTTAAACCGGGCTGCTCCTTGGAGGCAAGGATTCTGAGACTTCGTCTGACATACTTTGGTCATGTTGTAAAGAGAGACCGGTCTTTGGAGAAAGACATCATGCTTGGGAGGGTGGAGGGCAGGCACAGGAGGGGAAGGCCCTCTGGGAGATGGATTGATTTGGTGACTGGGGCAATCGGGATGAGTGTGTTGGAGACAGTGAGATTGGCACAGGACACAGCAGAGTTTAGAGCTGTTGTACATAGGATCGCTATGAGTCGCAAGCGACTCATGTATGTGTGTGTATATATATGTATATATGTGTATAGATGCGTGTGTGTGTATGTATATATATATATATATGTATATATATATATATACACATTCTACTTTAAAAAAATGGTTAAATATCAATCCTGATGATTGTCACCGTGCTGGTGGACCATGCAGGACCTGCCGTCCCCGTGAGTGTCTCTTGGGCTTAGTATCCTCTCACTGCTTTTAGGTTCCATCAAGTCGACTACAACTTTTACCCTACCCTATGTCATCATTAGTATCTCTTGTCGTGTTGGAGCCTTTTGCTACAGGCAGGCATTGTGCTTATCTATCTTGTTGAGGGTCTTCTCTTTCTCACCTTACCTAACATGTGGTCTTTTTCCAAGGACTGCCTCTCCTGACAGCAATGCCCATAGTATGTCAGAGAAGTGTCACCATCCTTGCCACTTGTCTGTCAGTTTGCCATCAAATGTCAGTTCCAGCTGTGACGCTGGAAGTATGCCGCTGATATTTCAAATACCAAAAGGGCTACTCCTGGTGGATAGGTTTCAGCGAACTTCCCTACTGAGCTTAGAAACAGGACTAGTCATCCAACTTCTGAAATAGCTGGCCTTTGAAAACCTTCGCTTTAAAAAAAAAAAATAATAATTATTTTTGTATGTACCGTCAAACTGGATGCGATTGGTACAGGAGGAGATTGCCTCCTCTGGTGGATTTGAACTACGCACATCTAGGATGGCAGTGCAGCTTCTTATCACTAGGCCACCAGAGCTCACAACCCTCCCTTTCTTAAAGTAGGATAAGCCCAAAAAAATAAACAAAACAAAACAAAAAAAAAAGTAGGATAAGCCCAAGTCGGCTCTGCCTTTTAGACTTGTCACGAGGTTCAATGAGCAGTCCTACAGACAGGGCTCAGCACAGCAATCAGCTCTAAACCAGGGTTCTCAAGGTGGTATTGGGAGACACTTCAATGACCGGGACACCCCAGCCCTCAAGTGTGCAGACTCAGCCCTTGCCTCCATGATGCCACCGCAGCCCCAAGCTCTGCTCCTTCATTATGCTCCGCCCACCAGACAGCAGTAGTGCCCCGCCCCCTCACGCTCTGCCCGCCCACAGCTGGCCAGGCGAGCCGAGCCGGGCCGAAGGCGAGCCGAGCCGGGCCGAAGGCGAGCCGAGCCGGGCCGAAGGCGAGCCGAGCCGGGCCGAAGGCGAGCCGGGCCGGGCCGAAGGCGAGCCGGGCCGAAGGCGAGCCGAGCTGGGCCGACTGCCACCGACCAAGGCCGAGCAAGGCCGAACGGTATCGAGCGCAGCCGAGCCGCATCGCGCTGGCGCCGAGGTGAGCGGCCCGTCGGCCAGAGCCGTCCTGTGCGGGCTTCTTGGACCGGGCGGAGCCGAGGACACCCGAACCGCCAGGCCGAGGCGAGCCGAGGCTGGGACGGCACCGTGCTTGAGGAGGCGATCGGGTCCAGCCGGATCTTCCCGGGACGGCCAGCATGAAACGGGACCGGCTCGGCCGCTTCCTGTCGCCCGGGGCGACCCGGCAGCGCGGGGGTCCGGGCGGTGGCGCCTGCGGGGGAGGCCGGACCCGAGGCCGCCCTGTCCGTAGCGGTGATCCCAGCGGGGACGGGACCGCGGTGGCGGCGGCCGAGGACGGCGCGGAGGAGGCGGGTGAGTGGGCCCCTCTCAGGCCAGGGCCGGCGTGCGGAGGCCTGGCCATGGGTCAGAGATGGGGATCGTGGACCAGGGGCCAGGGACTGGGGTCCGGCAGAGGGCCTGGGGACCGTGTGTCCGAGATCGGGCTGGAGGCGTCTCTCCGGGAAGAACGAGGACAGCCGAGTGGGGCGGGCGGAGGACTGCTCCCTCTTTAGGGTCTGCGCTCGCGGCGGGGCGCTCCTGGGGTCCTGTGACCTTGAGGTGTCCACCCACGGTCTCTGAGCCTCAGCCCTCCTCCTCAAGCTCCCCAGGAGCTTGTGGACCCCGAGTTACTGCGGGCCCTTCCAGGCGGGCTCTGCGTCATCTCTGGAGCTGGAGGACAGTCACCCCGAGTCTCCTCCAGCGGGCAGCGGTGGGCCGGCCAAGGGGGATGGGGGTCAGAGCCAAGGGGGGGCAGGGGTGGAGGGCCAGGAGGAGGAGAGGGCTAGGGAGGGGGTGAGGAAAACATAGGGGAGGGGGAGGGCTAGGGAGAGGAGGGGGTGGAGGGGAGCATGCGGGAGGGCTAAGGGGGATAGGGAAGGGGATAGGGGAGGGGGTTGAGGGCAGAGGGGAGTGAGAGCCAAGGGGAGGGGTTTGGGGGAGGACCGAGGGGAGGGAAAGGGGGTGAAGGCTAAGGGAAAGAGAGGTGGATGAGAACCAAGGAGGGCAGGGTTGAGGGCATAGGGGAGGGGAGGGCTGAGGGGGTCTGGGGTGAGAGTCAAGGGGAAGGGGGGCTGAAGGGTTTGGGGGTGAAGGCCAAGGGCCAAGGGGAGGGGAATTGAGGGAGGGGAAGTAGATGAGAGTGGGGGAGGGGCAGGGGCCAAAGGGATCCAGGGTGTGTGTGGGGCAACAAAGGGAGGGAAGGTAGAGTGAGGGGGACTCTGATGGGGGAAACACTGACAGGGTGTCTTAAGGGGTGGTGGGGAGTGGTGGATGAGAACGGAAGGGATAGGGGAGACAAGTGTTGATAGAATTACCATGAGGGGTAATGACATGGTGTGAAAGGAGACAAGGCGATGGAGTGTGCATGAGAGGTCATAAGGTGGGAGTGAATAATGGAGGCTGTAGGTAGAACTATCAAGGTGTTTAGGATCCTTTGAGAGGGTTTTGTTTTGTTCTGTTTTGTTTTTTTTTTTACCAGAAGTCCCTTCCCCCAGACCTGTCCCATCTTGAACGTTGAGGGTTCAGGCCTTGACCCCTTAACCCCAATGCTCCAAGCTGAGCTGGGCTGAGCAGCCCGAATTTAGGTCTAGCTTCCCAGTGACAATGTGTGTTCCCTGTTCTTTTCCCAGGACCAGGCCGGCTACTTGCCACAGGGCACTGTCGCCTCTGCCACGGGAAGTTCTCCTCCAGAAGCCTCCGCAACGTGGCAAGCAGAGGGCCTGGGGAGAGTGTTGGGAGAGCACCCCCAGGGGAGCGAGTTCTTAGCAGGGACTTCCAGCACCTGCTGGGGATCCCCATCCTCCAGGACCCAGCTCTCTCTCCCTTTGTCTGCAAGAACTGCCACGCTCAGTTCTACCAGTGTCACAGCCTCCTCAGCTCCTTCCTGCAGAGGGTCAATGCTGCCCCGGCTCGCCACCACAAGCCTTTTACAAAGTAAGCCTTGTCTGTTCTTGGTGGGGAGTATCCTCTGGGCACTGAGAGTGCTGGTCAGGGGACAGGTGTGGGTGGTGCCCAGGAACTGCTGTGGTAGTTGGTACAGTGAGCACCAGGCACGCTTGAACAGGAAGGCGGGCAGTGAGAGGAAGGGGCAGGTGGCGTGATTCAGAAAGATGGCACCTGAGGGACAGCAGGACCTTTGGGGGTAGCTATGAAGCTACGACAGAGCTGTGGGATCTGCCTCTCATGCTCATAGAAGCCTGATCTTTTGCAGGACTGGGACCCAGTCCCATGCTGCCTCAGAAGAGAGCACATGTCTGGGTGAGTGTCTGGGTACATAGGCGGTCAGGGTGGCAGGGACTGTCTGGGGCTGACTCTCTGTTTCTCAGCAGACCAGGTCCCATGGAGTCTCCGGTGCCTGCAGGCCCTGGTGAGGTGGGTGCATGGGCACGCAACCAGCTGTGCTACCCTGCCCAGCCTGCAACGGGTGCTTTCCTCTGAGTACTGCGGCGGTGTCAGGGCTGTATGGGGCTGTGGCCAGGGCCACGACTACATCATGGACACAGATTCAGGCTGTGGAGCCCCCATGTTCGACAGCACGCTGGCAGTCAAGTGGGAGTGGGAAAAGGAAACAGCCACTCAGCTCACCCCTAATCCTGCTGGGGCTGCCTCCCAGCACTCCCCGGGCAGAGGAACCACCGCCGAGGCTGAGACAGAGGTGCTGCCCAGCACGGACCCAGCCCAGCAGCCCTCCTTGGATGGCAGTTCTGTGGGTCCTTGTCAGAATACCCCACCCCAGCCAAGCCCACCCCTCAGTGGGTCTCCAGGTAGGAGGCTCCACTGGTCTGTGCTCAACCCAGGTCCCCAACTCTTGAACTGGAGGGTTTGGGTTGGTCCAGAAAGCGCAGTGGTGGGCGATGGGGGCCTGGGGCACTTTGGAGGGCCTTTGACTGTAAGCTGGGCAGAGGAACCCAAGACCATCAGCCAGTTGGAGCCCAGGATCCTTTCTGAGCAGCCTGATCAAGTACTTTGTGTAAAGACATGCGCCTCTGTCCTCTATGGCTCCCAAGTTCCAGCAGAACTAGCCGGCCACACTGGCCTCCCCATGGTCCAGGGGAGGGAAGAATGGGGGCCTTGTCTCTGGGTGTGGGGGAGGAGAGAGATTGTGACTTCTGAGGCTGATGCTTTGGGCCAGCTGCAGGTCACTCTCTTGACTGCAGCCAGCCATCCTGAGGACACTACAGTGGGACTAGGGTGGACGTGGAGAACATAGCCAGCCCCTTGTTTGGGGCGCAGATCTCATGGTGATTGCCAGGGATATAAGGAGGTCAGGGGCCAGCCTTCCACCTCTGGACTCCTGAGTGTATTCTGTGTGTCTATCCATGAGGGCACCTGTGCATGGACGAGGCCATGGCCGTGCTACCGTAGGTGGTACTGTGAGAAAGCCTAGCTCTGTGTGGAACCAGGGTAGGCAGGGCTGACTTGTGGCTGCCTTTCCATTCTAGTGCTACTTGGCATTTTAAATGGCTTTGACCCACAACACTCAGCTAACCCCGAAAAGTACCAAGTCTAAACCCGGGGGACCCTGGGCCTGCTTCTGGTTTTGGGCCTGGCACCGGGCTTGGGATGCAGGGCACCTGAGGCTGGGAGGCTTACAGGTAACAGGACTCCATTTTCTTTCCCAGGACAGTTGAATGAGAAGCAGGTTCCGTCTTCAGCCTCGGATGATCGGGTAAAAGACGAGTTCAGTGACCTTTCTGAGGGGTGAGAGAAGAGTGGGTTTCAACAGCCTAAAACTACTTCTTTGAAAACCAAACTCCACCATCCTAGGTGCTTGCGGCCTGGCCCCCTGCTCAGGACGCTCCCCTGCTTTCCAGGTTGGGAAGAAGAGGGGTTGGGGGGCTTCCAAGGTAGGGCCAGGCTTGTTCCGGCTGGGGACCTTTTAGCTCAGAGGCACATGTGGTCTTTGACTTAGGCAGGTGGACACCTTCCCCACTGCTTGTTGGTTTTGTCCATAAAGGCCTCAAGTTTTGTCCCAGTCCCAGGTGTCACCAATGGAGAGGGAGCCAGGCTCTGTCCTTGACTGACCTGAAGCATAGGTCTGATGTAGGAGAGTAGAAAGGACAAATCCTCTCCCTGAAGAGGGAGACAGTTTCTGTCCCCTCCTGTGTCTGGCCTAGTGTCGATACAGCTTCCCTCCACACTAGGAGGACAGCATAGTTTTAGCGTGCCGTCATGGGTGCTTGAAAGGAATGACTGGTGATGCTGGAAGCATCAGGAAGAGAGCTCGTGGGTTACCTGGGGCGTGGAGCCCGTGGGCCACCTGTCGCAGCATCTTCGTGGTAAAGCTTACAGGTGGACCATCATGAACTTTGAAATAACTAACAGTTGCCCTCAGTTAGTTGCTGGTGGCAGTCCTGGGGGCAAGGGTACTTGATGCAAGTGTCACATCCTAGGAAGGCTCTGAGTGGCCCTTCAGAGGGGCCCTGGCTCCTAGTGCAGCTGTTGGGGAGCTATGCTGGCCTGTTAGGCTTCCACGACCTACCTGCTAAAAAGTGGGGTTGGGAATTTGGGGCATTTTAGATTTTTTTTTGAATGTTTGGGAGAACAAAACGGCCCCCTGTCCAGGGCCCAGCTGAGGGTCCTATCTCCTCTGCAGAGACTTTCTGAGTGACGATGAACAGGACAAGAAGCAGAATACCCCTTCATCTGATGAGTCCTTTGAACCATACCCAGAGAAGAGGTAAGACTGCTGTATGGTCTGGTGCATGGCGTTCAGTGTGAAGTCAGATGCTGATGGTGTGTGTGGGGTACAGCCATCAGAGAGGTTCTTGTTTGTAGTCTAGCTGGAGCAAAACATTTGCCATCTCAGCATTTTTCACATGTACAGTTCAGTGATATTAATCCCCATTTTGTTTAAGTAGCATCATTATCTGTTAACAGTTTTCTCCTCATCTTAACAGACTCTCTGTACCCCCTCGGCATTTATTTAGCCCCGGCTTCCAGCCCTGGCGACCACCAGTGATTCTTGGTGTCTAATGCTTGCCTATTACAGATCTACTGCGCGGAAGAGGACCATACAGAGCTTGTCCTCTGTGATGTACAAGCTTCTCTTTCCACATGCCTTCATGTTTCAGATGTACATTCTCTCTGTAGCAGAGTGGTTTTCCACTGCTGTGTACAACACTTTTTGTTTATCCATTCACGTTGCTGGATATTTAGGTTGTTTTTGTGATTTGTTCAGTCACTGGTGCTAATAACGTTAAGGGATTTCTATGTTTATTGCATCCCTGCTTCCACCTCTGAGTATACACACAGGAGTGGCATTGCTGGGTCATATTCTATGTTTAATTTCGAGAAACAGCCAGACCCTATTCACAATGGCTGCACCATTTCATGGTCCTACCACATTGGAAGAGAGTTCCCATATCCCCCATCTGTAGCCATGCTTTGTAGGGGCCATGTGGTGTCTCACTGAGCTTTGGTTGGCATTTTCTAGTAACCAGCGATGTTGAGCATCTTCTCATGTGCCTGTTGGCCATTTCTATTTCTTTAATGAAATGTCTATTTAAATCTCTTACCCTTTTTTTGACAAGGTTGTCTTTAAATTTTAGAAGTTCTTTATATATTCTGGATATTATCAGAAATGTGGTTCCCAAAATTTTACTCTCAGTCTATAGGTTGTCTTGTCATTTTCCCCACAGACTTGTGAGAAAGTATTTAGATGATGTTCGAGGTGATATTTTGTCTTCTGTTGCTCTTGGGTTTTGGTGTCATATCTAAAAGCCCACTGTTGAGGATTAGGTCCCAAAGCATTATCCTGTTTCTTCTAAGAGTCTTTAGGTCCTTGATCCATTTGAGTTAAACCCATTGACCACAAACATGCAGGGTTTATCCTGGACTCTGACGTTCTGTTTCCTTGGTGTATGTGTCCGTCATGTATCAGGCTGGGTTTTTGGTGGCTGTTTTCAGGTCATCAAGAATTCTTTTATGAGTCAGTCAGGAAGTTCTGGTGGCTTAGTCTATAGGGATCTTGTTGTCACAGTCAGGCTAACTTTATAGTACTCTCTATCCTATATTTTGGAACAGTTTAAGGAGGATTCACTTTTCTTTAATGTTCTTCAGTGAAACCATCTGGTCTAGGATTGTTCTTTTCTGGGAGGCTTTTGATGGCTCATTTGAATCCTTCATTTGTACATTTGTTGAGATTGGTTTTGCACTTATTATAAGGCCTGGAAACTTATTTCTTTTTAGACACACCCACAGTATGGCCCCGGCAGCCAGTGGTCTTGGTGTGCTAGCCTTGAACCCGAAGGCCCCAAAAGTGGCGCAGCCCTTTGTGGGCACAGATCTTCTTCAGTCACTTCAGGTCTTCACGGAGCTTGTTGTCCAGACCACTGGCCAGCACCTGACTATATTTCCCAACCTTCTTATCTTTTTGTCTGCTGAAGAACCAGTCTGGAATCTTGTACTGGCGTGGATTCTGCTTCATGGTAATCACACTCTCCACCTCCTCCTCAGTGAACTCTCCTGCCCTCTTGGTGAGGTCAGTGTTTGCTTTCCTCCACACCACGTGAACTTATCTTCACCCTACACCCTTAATGGCAGTGATGGCAAAGGTTGTTTTCCCTGCCCATCTATGGTAGTGTTGAGTACTCACAAAATGTGCTGGAACTTCTCTGGGATCACTAGAGACATGGCGGTGGCAGCAGCTATGTGTACGTCTCCGGGGGAAGAGAGTGATATTGTTTCCTCTCAATTTGAATTCACCAGGAATTTGTCCATTTCTTATAGGTCATCTACTTTCTTAGCCTACATATTTATAACATTCCTTTGTGATCTTTTTTTATTTCTACAAAGTTGATAGTAACAGCCTCACTTTAATTTGTGGTATTTTTGTCTTCTCTTTGTCATTCTAATAAAAGTTGCATCAATTAAAAACTGAATTTTTCTTATAGTGACCAACTCCTAGCTGCACTAGTTCTCTACTTGATTTAATTTCTCTGCTCTGAACTTTGCAATGCTCATCCTTCTACTTGCTTTACTTCTGGTTCAAGTTGTAGACCGCTTTTTCTTTAATTGCATACAATAAAAATGCATATGCCTGTATGAAACAAAATATAAATGAAAGATGTGCAAAACACAATGTCACCTCTTTTCATTTCTTACTTGAGTTATTAGTGTCTTTAATTTTTTTTTTAAGTTTGCCAGTGTTTATTTTACTGATCCTTTCAAAAATAACAGCTCCTGGTCTTACTGGTGGCTTCATATGTTTTCAGTTTTCTATGTCATTGATTTTAGCTCTTGTATTTTTAATTTCCTTTCTTCTAGAGACTGTGGGGTTAGATCCTTGTTCTTTTTCTACTTGATGGAATAGTTGAGTTAGGCCATTAATTTTGCTTTCCCCGCCCCCCTTCGTTTTTAATGTGTCTGCATATTGGTATGAACTGCCCCCTGCGGACTGCCTGAGAAATTTGGACACTGATGTTCATAGCAGCATTATTCATAGTAGCAAAAACATAGAATCAGCACAAATGTCCATCAACAAATGACTGGATTGAGAAACTGTGGTATACTCATACAATGAAATATAACGCAGCACTCAAGAGCAAGTTTTGAAAAATACTACATGAGAGAGCATTATGCTGAGTGAACCATCTCAGGCACCTAAGGACAAATACTGCATAATATCATTATTGTAGAAACAGAAAGATTAAAAAAAGCCAGAGATTATCCAGAGAGAAGGGAAGGGGTTGGGAGATATTAAGTTTGGGTAGGGGAGGAAATCAAGGGGGTCACAGAGTTTGGTGGGTAGACGGGTGGGGAAAAGCCAAACACAATGTATATGAATGAAACACACTGTAAACAATTATATGTAAACCAATACATTTTTAAAAATACAGTGTACATGAATGAAACAATGTACATGAATTATTGTATGTAAACCAATAAAAAAATTAAACTGCTGTAACCTATGTAAATACTATTTATGGTGAGTTTTTAAAAATTTGTATTTTATACTAGTTTGTTTACAAAGTTCATCTACATTGTTTTGCACACTGGATCTTTCACATTTCCTTGACTCAGTCCTCCCTCTACCCATCATCATTATACAACCCTGTGATTAGAAACCCTGCCCATCCTCAGCCTTCTGCTCCTACCCATCCCCCCCTTTGATTCTTACACCCTTTCTACTCATTATCTATTTCTATAATAAGTCTTACACAGTGTCTGCCCTTATGGACTTAGTGCATTAATTTTCTAAATCATTGCTCCCGCATGCTGCGTAGTATTCCACCATGTAAATGTACCACAATTTCTCAATCCATTCTATTGTGGTTGGACATCTAGGCCGTTTCCATGATCTTGTAACAGTGTTTGTGCCTCAGTTCTAATTTTCTTGGGATAATATTCCAGACAGTGGAATAGCTGGGTCATATGGAATTTCTGTGTTCAGCTTTTTGTAAAAACACCAGATCGATTTGTGATCTTTGTATCCACAGCATTTACAGCTTGCCAGCCCTCCTAGGCAGAGCCTCTGTGGTCCATGCTTTGATTGATACTGTTCCGTGCTTTGCTATGTCATACCTTGATTTTCACTTGACTCTTTAAAAGTCTTGTTGGATTTGTCTTGAAAAATCTGTGGTTACGTACCCTGGTGGTGCAGTGGTTAAAGGACTTGGCTGCTAATGTAAAGGTCAGCAGTTTGAACCCCTTGGTTTTTCTGTGGGAGAGCTGTGGCTGTCTAAGGATTTTTCTGTACCATAGAGTTGGAGCTGACTCTCCAAGTTTTCAGAGGCAGTGAATTGCATGGAATGAGATTGCCTGTCTTTCTTCCACGGAGCAGCTGATGGATTTGAACCACATGCCTTTGGGATTGCAGTGAAGCTTATCACTAGGCTACCAGAGCTCTTTAATCTGTTAGGAGTAAGACCCTGGGGACCTTTTCTGGCAGTTCTCTACCCTTAGAGTGTGACTGTTTTTTACCACCCAAGCTCTCTTTTGGTTACTGATTGTGTGGGATTATCCTCTGAGAGGTTCTTTTAATATGCTTCTTTAACGAGGAAGAGTCACTTAAAATGTTTCTGTAATTTTCTTCAAAACAGATTTTGGGTTTCTCAGAGAAGGGTCAAGCTCTACCTGGGAGAATGAGCTCAGTAGCCACTAGGCCTGTGATGCACTCCCCTCACCCCATAGCCAGAACAAGGCCCCTCTCTTGTCCCTTAACCAGGTGTAGGCTTTAGGGGCAAAGGTGAGCCTGAAGGCCCTGAGTTACCATGGAGACAAAGTTGACCTCTCAGGGAATCTTAGGAAGGCCTGGGCTCAAACCTCAGGAGCACAGGTGAAGGGAGACTACATATGCCTGGACCAGCCCCACTTGTGTTCACAGGGTGTCTAGCAGGAAGAGTGAAGGCAAAGAGGCAAAGCGACCTGAAGAACCCAAAACTCGAAAGAAACCAGGCCCCAAGCCCGGCTGGAAGAAGCAGCTCCGCTGTGAGAGGTGAGGGGCGGCAGCTTGTGGATACATATGCCTGCATGTCTGTAGGATGTGATACTTGGGCACGCAGATGGATACAGGGGCACTGGCACGTGCATGGACGTGCACCAAGTGTGGCTCCCATGTCTCCTCTGCCCTGCAGAGAGGAGCTACCCACCATCTACAAGTGTCCTTACCAGGGCTGCACAGCTGTGTACAGGGGTGCTGACGGCATGAAGGTGAGTGGAGAGTGGGTCGGGTATAGGACACCAGCCAGGATGGACATGACTGAGTGCTGCTGGCTGAGGGGGCACCCTGCCTTCATGAAGGGTAGGGTGGGGAGCACTTGCTTTCCTTGGAGGGCCTGCTGTCTGGCAGACCCCTCCCACCTGAGCAAAAAGGATGCTCACAGTGCACGGGTCCTACAGAAGCACATCAAGGAACACCATGAGGAGGTCCGCGAGAGGCCCTGCCCACACCCCGGCTGCAACAAGGTGTTCATGATTGACCGCTACCTGCAGCGCCATGTGAAACTCATCCACACAGGTGATGTCACCACTGCTTTCCCATGCCTCTCGGTGCCCCTAGGCTGGGTGTGCGCTCCCCTTACCCCTAAGGAAGCCATGCCCTGTTGAATCTCAGAGAAGAGCCAACTCTGGAAGTTTGCTGTTTGAGGTCCCTTTATTTGCCGATTCATTTATTTCAGTGCTGAGTCACCTGCTTCTTTGGGCGTACTTTACCCTTAAACCGGTTTGTTTTAGCAACCAGCTCTCTGACTATACTTGTCAGGATCAGGGGAGCGTTGTTTCTAGTATAGGAGAGATGGTTTTCTTGGGGTTTCTGAAGGTTTGGGAGGCAAGAAGTGTCTTGTGGAAGGTGTTCAGAGAAAGCCTGGAGTGGAGTTTAACGTCACAGGGTGAGATGTGGCTTTTGCTGAAGTGTCTGAGGTTGCTTTTTAGTTGAGTCCTTAGCTAAACCAACAAGAACCTGTGCCCAAGTTGATCTCTGAGAACAGGGTGACAGTGCACTGAGCCTGCAGTTTAGGGGCCCTCATGGCCATAGCCAGGACAGTGGTAAGCCTGTCTTCTCGAGGACGATGTTTCTGACTATCCCTCAGTGAATCATCTCTCCTGTCACCCCCAGAGGTGCGGAACTACATCTGTGATGAGTGTGGACAGACCTTCAAGCAGCGCAAACACCTCCTTGTACACCAGATGCGGCACTCGGGAGCCAAGCCCCTGCAGTGAGTGGGTGGGGCTTGAAGGGACGCCTATGCAGTAACGGGGTGGGTACATAAGCCCAGACTGTCCTCAAGTGCTGGGTGTGGGAGTCTGGTCTGTCCCTGGGAGGTCAAGCTCCTCCTGACTTCCTGACTTGTGCTGCCCTTCAGGTGTGAAGTGTGCGGGTTCCAATGCAGACAGAGAGCCTCCCTCAAGTACCACATGACCAAACACAAAGCAGAGACTGAACTGGATTTTGCCTGTGACCAGTGTGGCCGGCGATTTGAGAAGGCCCACAATCTGAATGTGCACATGTCTATGGTGCACCCACTGACACAGAACCAGGACAAGGCCAGACCCTCAGAGACAGAGGCCCCCAGGATTCCAGGGCCCCTTGGGACAAGGGACAGCCAGGCTGTGAAGCCAGAGCCCACCTGAGGCCGCCAGGTGGGACAGTTCACCAGGCCCCACTGGATGGGCACATCCTCACAACATCCCAGACCTGCAAGTCAACTTATGGGATGACCCGTACTGCCCCTGAGGCAGCAGGGATCTCCTGGGGGGACCAGCACTTCCACAAACACAGATGCCTTGGAGCCAGACTCAGTATAAGAGGAGCCTAGAATGTCCCTCCCTCCTCAGGTGCAGTCAGAAGAGCTGGGGCTCCTGGTACAAGTCCTCGTCTGACCTTGGGTCCCGCAGAGCCGGCTGCCCACTTCTGCTCAGGAGGGCAGCGCTCACCTCAGGGTCCAGGTCCTCATCAGTGGCCAGCAGCTGCAAGAACACACACTCAGCTGTGCAGCCTTGCGGGATAGCACCAGGCTGACCGGTCCTAGGGGCCAGGTGCACAGTGGGCTGGGGCTGAGTCCACCCGGGGCTGGGGACTTAGCACACTGCAGATGGGGGAACACGGCCTTGTTACCTCTGTCACATTCAGGAAGCTCTGCTCGGGGCACCGTGAAATTGACCGCAGCAGGAAGAGACGGGCCTTCGTCAGCAGCTCCAGTGGATGGAGCTGGAGGGAGAATAGACATGGGTGGTCAGAGGACTATAGCTGAGCTGGCCATCCAGGCCCTGTCACAGGCTCCACGCAGGGGTGTGCTGGCCACACCTCATCAGTGGACACTTGCCTGGTCTAGCTGGCCATGGGTGGCTGGAGTCAGTAGATCATGTGTCTCACCGGCCACAAAGAGCCGGGTCAGCTTCAGATACATGCCAACAGCTACTTGCAGGAAGGCATCCTTCCTGACAAGGGTGTCGGGGTCCAGGGAGGGGAGCAGGCTAAAGGGAGAGACACCTCAGTTACCTGAGATGAATCATGAAATCAGAGGCCTGGCTGTGTGGGAACCTGGGCCCAGGACTCTACCTGAAGAAGGCAAGTGGCAGGAGCCGGATGTGCTGGTCAGAGGCCAAGTGGAGAAACACCGGGCCAGGTCCAGGCCCTGCAACATGGATGGACAACAGCATTCATTCCCTGTGCTGGTGGCAGGGATTCTAAGCACTGCACTGCTGCAGTGGAACCTCTCCCAGTGTCCTTGTTATGTGAGCCAAATTTATTATTTTGTTTTGTATAAAGGAGTTTGTAATGGACTCATCCTGGGGCTCATTGTTGAGGGATGACAGAGTACCGTGGGATCTTGGTGCTCCTCTCAACCCCACCCACTGCATCCTGGGACCAGATGGAGCCAAGGCAGTGACCAGTGGGGTGCCTCACCCGTCTCTGTCAACTGGAAGAGCCCCAGCCAGGGCACCTTCTTCCTCTCCAGGTACCCAAGGATCTTGGTACAGGTGTCCAGCACCTTCAGGGGGCTGAGAGCTTCCTGTGACCGGGGGAGAAGGATGGTGAGCAACTCTGCTGGGGGGTCAGGGGAGGTGTGCAGCCCATGAACCAGCCTGGAAGAGGTAGGCCCAGCACAGCTGTGTGGGGAGCAGAGAGGTCTGAGGAGGGGCTGCCCCGACTGTCTTGTGCTGAGACTTACATCGGGGGCCAGATGCCCTGAGATCAGGCCTGTGATGGAGAAGAAGAAGAGGGACAGCAGCACCTGCCAAGAGAGCACATTGTCCCACACAGCCCCTTAACAAGTCTCCTGGACAGACGCATGTATAGAAGCTCCCGAAGGGGTAAACTAGGTTCTTGCCCAATCCTTCTGTGTTCACCTTAAAATACAACTGGGAAGGTGTATGTCCTGGCTGCTCAACCAGCCTGCAACCCCCGTGCATCTAGTGGTCTTAGAACCCCTTCTCTAGGCAGCCTAGCTCCCCCACAGCCAGGCCTGAGCCTGTCAAACACCTCCCTATCCCACAGCCAGGCCTACACCCACCCCTCCACAAAGGCAGGCCTGTGCCCTGTCTGAGCCCTGACTGGCACTGCTCACACCCACCCCCAGGCCCTGTACAGCTGGGAGGGAGCAGCTCACAGCTCTTCCAGGGAGTGAAATCGCACTTAAACCCATAAACACTGTTTAACCTCCAGCCAAGTAAGGAGACCTGAGGCCTGGGGACCTTTGTCACTTGCCTCCTGTCCTAGGCAGTCCAGAATTGTGAGCTCCACCTTGCCTTGTTCTCTCAGTGCCTGCTGCATGGTAAAGTACAGAGCCGCCGCAGAAACCCAGGAAGGGCCAGAACTGGCGCCGGACAGGTTGGGGTGCAGGGAGATGAAGCTTGGAAAACCAGAGAAATGAACACGTGTTTGAAGGCCTTCCCCACACCACACCATGCTGCACAATTGCCCAGGGCTAGCACTGCCCAGGGGCCTACCAGACCCCAGCACTGCAGCCTAGAGCCTTGAGTCCAGGCACCATGAGGGGACACCCCTGCCCCAAGCCAAGTCCTTGAAGGAGTCCCTTGGAGGTTGCACAAGGAACAGGCAGGCTGGGGGGACTAATTCTCCAGGGAAGGGTGTCCCTGGGCAAGGCACAGTATGCCACTACAGTGACCCAGGCCACCTGAGGCTCCACACCTGGGCACCACTGGACAGACCCAACATGGTATCCAACTGTCCTGCTGGATAGAGGCCACACGTGTCAGGGCCCCACCACTGTTTTCTCATATGTGGTATCCTGTGTTTTATGCAATGTGGACCTCCATGGAGACAAAGTCTCATGTTCACAATACACACGTGGTCTGCGGGGCTGCGTACTGTGCACAGGGCCATGTGCTGTCAGCAGGGGCATGTTTGGTCTTGGGGGAGGTCGTGTATTGTCACCTATGGCTCCTGTTGTCCTTCAGGTGCATGTGTGATTCATGGTTAGAAAGGGCTGTCTGCAAAGAGGGCAAGCATGTGACCCCTAGGAGTGTGTATTGTGCAGCAGTCTGCAGGGTGGCATGTCATCTTGGAGGTGGCAAACATCTGACACGTGAAAGTGGGTATGGTGTACAGAGGACACTGAGGGTTTTCATCCTGTGTTTGGGCATGTCATCTTGGGGGTGGGGCCCATGAGAGTGGGTGTCCTGTACAAAGGACTTTGTTTAGGGGGTGGGGGTGGTCTGTGAGGGTTGACAAGTCATCCTTACGGGCATGTCATCTCCTGGTGGAGGTAGCCTGTGGGAGCAGGTGTGTATGGGGATGTTATTTGGGGATGTGTGCAGGTGGTCTGCAGAGGTAGCTTGGAGTCCAGGAGGCAGTGAGCGTCTGGCCCATGGAGGGCAGGTGGTGTACAGAGGACACTGGTGGGTTGTGATGCAGATAGAAAACAGCAGTCACAGAGGCAGGATCTATAGCATGACCAGCTGGTCTTCACCCCTGAGGAACACGCCCTTCAAAACCAGCACGCTGTTAAGTTGTACAAGGCACAGAGGAAAGTGCTCGGGGAGGAGGCCATTCTCACCCAGGTGATAGTGGGCCATGCTGCTGTCCTGCCTGCACAAATGCCCTGAGATGCCCATGCAGCTTACCTCTTGGCCAGGTCCTGGGCTTCCGCCAGCTCCTGCAGCGCCCGGGGCAGTGGGCTCTTCAAGTGTCGCCTCCACTGGCACACAAGCACTGGCTCCAGACGTGGCCACCACAGCTGAGAGACAATCACAGTATGATCACAATGGAGTAACTCAGCCAGCGGTGCCCATACATGACATTAGGTGACACGGACTCCAGGGCTTGTCTATATCCTGGAGGATCACAGCTCTGTGGGCATCCTGATCCTCTGACACGGAGGACACTGGGCTTGGGGGACAGTGGCTGAGTAGGTACCCCTGGGCTTGGATCTCAGCTGTCCTTGGTGGTGAAGGCCTGGATCACTGCCAAGAGCTAGGCTTTAAAGCCCTTCCAGTACACTCTTGGGCTGTAAGCTTGGGGACTTGCCAGAACGCTTGGAAACCCACAGTTAGGAGGGAATCTGAAGTCTGAGTTTAGCTGGTAGCCAGTGGTCTGTTCGCCTTTCCACCTCCCTTATTCCAGAGCATGAGGTCATGTGAGTCAAGAAGGTCAGGCAGGAAGCAGAAGCCTCTGCCCTGAGCCCTGAGAAGATAACTGGATGGGAGAGGCTCCACGTCACTGCTCAGTGCACCAGGTGAGAGTGCAGGTAAGGGAGAACCAGCTGAGGGTGCCTGCAGGTAAAGGGGTATCAGGTGGGACAGCGAGTGAGTGAGTGGACCATTGAGTTAGGGAATAAAAGAGCACCACAAGTCCACCAATCTACATCCCCACTTGAAGCCAGCTCACAGAGGGTCCGAGAGCTCTAGTGCTCTCAAAAGATGTGAAGACTCCTATACTCTGAGGTTCTCTCTTCACAAAATGAAAAACAGAACCAGGTGTGAGGTGAAGAAGAGCTGCCAGGAGCCTAGAGCACTCACTGCCTGCTCCTATCTCACAGGCAGAGGGGCAGATAGGACGATTACCAGAGCAGAGGTCAGGATTATTGGGCACTTGGTCTGGCAGGTGGAAAGGGTCAGGTCAACAAGCAAGGCAGGGTCTTGTCCACGTAGACAGGTGCTCAGGAGGCCCTGGAGGAAACAGAGGGCTCAGGATTGGGTCCCATGCAGACGCAGGGCAGTCTGGAGTCCCCACAGAGGCTCTGATCAGGCAGCAGGGAGTAGGAAGCGCTGCAGAGATGAGTGATTACCCGGAAGAAGTGGGCAGTGATGTCGTGGGTCAGGGCACCTCCATGGTGGCAAAGGTTTCTCTGCAACACAAAAAACAACAAAGTCAAAAAGGAAACAGCAGGAGGGCATGGACAAAGTGTGGCTGTGGTGTGTGGGAGGGGGTGTGAAGGAGAAGGGTCAGTGGCCACAGTGGGGTTAGGATGAATCCACAATGTGGACTCTTAGGGGAGGGCTTGGGTAGAGTGTAGGAGCTGTGTGAGGGAGTGGGCATTCTGTGGGGAAGTGGTCCCACTGTGCACAGTGTGGCAGAGGTCTGGATGTGGAAGGAAATGTGAAGATTGGCCTGAGGTCACTATTGAACCAGAGCTCCCTTTCCCCTCCTGGGCTGTGTGCTGACACAGGGCATTGGGCAGGACAGAGGAGACACATGGCTGGGGAACACCAGCCAAGTGCCAGAGCCCGCTTCTGAGGAGCACCACACCCACACCCTGCTCCTTCCATGACACCCTTGCCCATCTGACTCCTAACTCTACACAGACCACATGGCACCTACCAGCTCTGAGCAGATGAATTGCAGGAACTGGCCACAGTCAGCGGTGGCTGGTTTCCCCTGGATGCCAGTGAAGAGCAGAGTGGGAGGGAGGGCCAGGAGGATCCTGGAACAAAAGGGAGAAGATTCAGTTCCAGGCCCAACCCTCCTGCAAGCAGGCCCTAGCCCCACCCCAACTCCAGAGTGTCCAGTGCTTGGGCCAGGCCCTCTGCAAACACAAAACGTGCTGCTGAAAAATGACTAACATCCCACATGAGCCAGGACAGTGGCCGGGCCGGTATGACCACAAACAACTCCAACCCAGGAGGTTTAAATCACTTCCTCCCAGAACATACTTTTCTTCACGGAGCCTGTCACAAGGTCCCCGGACCCTTGGACAGGATCAGAGACCTTACAATGGTGGGTGGACAGGATGGACGGCAGGGCCAGTGCAGACCATGATGCATCCGTACCGTTTCTGCAGGAGTAGCTCTTGCTGCCTTAGAAGGTGGACAGTCACTGCAGACACGCCCTCCAGAGCCTGCAGTCGCCTACGGAAAATCCCAACTAGGAAGTGCTCTGCTGTGTTGACCTGCTCCAGGTCCAGCAGCATTTCCTGGAAAAGGGCAGAGGATCAGGCTGCTCTGAGACCCTAAAGCCACTCACCCCCAGCAGACAGGGTAGGGTGAGTTCAATGGCCACAGGCAGGCTCCAGACAATCTTTACTGGAAGATTTCAAACCATCTGAGAGGAAAAATAAACAACACTCCTACTCACCACCCAGGTTCACCAACAGCCACATCTGCCCTGCCATCTGCCAGTCCAGTCTGAGTGTGCTGAGGTGTGTATGCATGCACGCAGGTGTTTACATTTTCCTAAGCGATCAGATCTCATTACCTGTGTTCCCAGGATGCAATGCATCCTCATGTGACCATGGCATGTGACCATCATCATTACCAAGGCCTCACAGCATCTCCCCGAGAGCTGGCCTGGCCAGGGTGAGGTCATGGGTCAAGTATCTGTTCTCTTTTAATCACAACCTTGGTCCAGTCTGTCTTAAAATACTGACACCACTGAAAGAAACGAGTGTAGCTGAAATGCTGAAGATGCCAGTTCTTAACCTGCTCTTATTTCAGTGCTGACACGCTCTGCCCGATGTTTGAGCAGTGCAGATGGTGTATCTCCACCAGAGTACCAAGGTCACATGCCAGCTGTTCAGAGGTCCCTGTCTGTCCTGTAAGGTCCTGTTCTATGTCCCTACAACAGACACGCATGGGAGCTGGAAAGGACCCTGGTGACATCCCGAGAGCACTGCAACCCAAGTACAGCTGCTTCTAGAAATGTAAAGAGTTCATTTCTGTTGCATTTGTGCTGACACAGTTTTCATCCTGAGTCTGAGCCACTGTTCCATACTGTCCACTCTGAAACACTGCCCACTACATGTGAGAATCACTGGCGGACAGCTGGGCAGCAGACAGATGGCCCATGAGAGACTGGAGTGACTGCAGCCCAGAGGACAGGAGGGCCATGTGCTAGGTGTATGCACTGCAGACACGTCCACCCAGTGACACTTGGTCAGTCCACACCAGAAGTCAGCCCTCCTGGTTCCATCCCTGTCGCTGGGACAAGGATGGGTGGGCAGGTCTTCCTTGTCTTGGGAACCGTTCCTCACTTGTATGTTTTATCCAGGTGGACAAACACCTGACATTTCCACTTCCATTGTTCACTTTTAGTCACTTGAAGAGTGTAGCCGCACCAGGAAGCACAGAGTCCTCACAGGACACAGGGAACAGCACCTTACATACCGGGCATACAGGAAGTCGCACACAGAGCCAGTGGACAGCAGGGTCTAGGACTGCACTGCCTGGAGTCGTGATGGCAGCTTTAGGCCTGTCCCTTCAAGCCTCCGGCTCCACTGTACGATGTTTACACCTAAGGTTGCTTCAGAGCCCAAGTTACCATGGACATGGACCTCAGCATAGCCGTGTGAACAGGACCCACTGTGGGAATTTACGAGGATTAAGGGGATGTCACTACAGGAACCATGGACGCTGGTCTCCTAACTCACCTGCAACCTGGAAAGGATATCTCGGTTTACCATGCAGCCTCTGGAGACATCAGATTTCTCCAGGAGGTCACAGCTCCAGGAGCTGGAATAAAGACAATGATGACCTCATTGGTATCTTAGAGCTGTGAGGATGGTTCCAGTGTTCTCTCGCTGCCCTGGTATGGGGCGAGGTCACTCCTCAGATGCCCCTGGTGACCACTACATTTCAAATAAACTACTGAGTCTAAGGTCATACCACTCTGAACATGCAGGATCTCCTCAACAAGCGACAATTTATAAGTGAAATCCCAACAAAATACTAGTGATCCCATCAAGCAAGACAAAGCAAGCCAGAGCCCATGACCAGGAGGGCTGCTCCTAGGAGGACAGGTGGCTCCCTCAGTTTCTCAACAGAGGAGACTGGGTACTTCCCTCCATGACAGGAAGGACAGAATTGTGCAAATGAATGAGGCTTGGACCCTCGCCACATTTACACAGATGACCCAAAAAGGGCCCAGAGACATAACTGTGAGATGGAAACACGGGAAAGGCTCCAGGGCCTTGAATCTGATAGTGAATGTTTAGGTAGGGCCCCAGAAGCACAAGCAAAGAGGAAACCAATCAGCTATTGTCTGGCCCCACTCCCCTCCCTACATAACACATCCCAGCACCATTCTCAGGGTTCAGTCTGCTCTGTTCCCTGTACTCCACAGCTCAGCAACCTGTTCTCAAGGCTTAGCCTCCATCCCAGCTTCTATTGTGTCCTTTCTGATCCCAGTCCTGTGGGGACCCCCCCCCCCCGGCCAATTAGATTCGAGGGTAGGCCTCCCAACACAACTCTAGCCACAAACATCTGTGTCCCAAGACCACAGTCTCAAAGCATCAATCCAGAAGCCCTGCCATGCTTGGCCAACCTTGTGCAGAAGTCCATCATTGCCTCGGTGAGGACACTGCAGGCTGCCTCCAGGTCTCCCCCACATCCTCCTACAGCCACAGGCTTGGGCAGGTAGTGTTGATGGATGGCCCACTGATGGAAATCTCGCCTGTAATAGAGAAGGCTGAGACCACCTGTAGCCCAGGATCCCCCAATCAGGCAAGCTCTGTGCCTGGGAGAACAGCAATTGCTAGTTTCCTGATAGTGCCTCAGGGGACAAGGTGGCCTTGCATTCCTGTCCCCAGGGCAATCTCTGTGACTCCCACTGTGGTCACAGGGCTGCTGGGCTTGGGACAAAGTGAGGAAAGGAATGGATGCAAATGTGCCAAGCCGAGGGATGGGGGCCCTGGTATGGGCTTCTGCGTGCTATATGGCTTTGGATGCTTGTGCATCATGTGGCTTTACTGAATCCCCAGCTTCCAGAATATTTCAGAACAGTAGTGTCTAGCATATAGCAAGAACTCAGTAAGTTTCCTCAATAAAGCAATAAATGAACAAATAAAACTGGGCTGAGAAGTCCTCTGTTAACCAAAACCTAACTGAGAAGATAGCATGAAAATCGGACTTGAGAAAGATGTTTGTTCCTCACCTTTCTGTGTCTGACAGAAGGTCATCTTGAGGCTCAATTCCTAGTTCCAACTGCAACCAGTCTCTGTAAGTTAGCTAGAGAAAAGGAGCAACAGGTCACAAGGCTAGTGCTGGCCATGGTGCACATGGCCACTGCCACTCCTGACTCCAGCCAGCAGTGGTCACGCCTTCTCATCTGTGCAGCTAACAGCAGTAAAATGACTGAAGACATGGAATAAGCTACCTCGAGCTCTCCACCTTTTTTGTGTGAAGACTAAGACCACATCCAAGAACCAGCAAACATTAAAAATGCTTTAGAGTAGAAAGTGACTCCCTGCCGCCCCTCCATGGTTTCGGAAGCTCTCTGTCACGGGGAGAAGACTGCCCATTTTTCACCAGAGATTCAAACCACTAAAGGCATGGCCTTTGGGCGAGCAAGGCAACTCCCTAAAGGCTCTACCACCAGAACTCCCTTATTAAATGCAAGACAGATGAGAGTCAGTGAGCACAGGAGCTTGGCCTGGAGGGGCAGCGGAGGGTACACAGCAGAGATGGCCTTGAGGGAATGTCGTGGGTGAGGCAAGGACATGGGTGGACATGCTGGCAGAGGTACCAGAGTGAAAGTAGGGATTTGATGGGTGTTAGGCAAAGTGTGAGGACACTGGTGCTTGTTACAAGAAAGCTCATGAGTATTGACAGGAATGCTGGTACAGGAACTGGGGTTGTATTCCTGGTCCCTGACGAGGTTTCTGGCTATCCCTGTGCATGTGTGTGGCTAGCTCACTGCCCTGACTCAAAGGCCAGGTCCGGCAGAGGTCCTGTGTTTTTAGTCAGCCATGAACTATTTGGAGGAAAACGTCATAGGGGAGCCACGGCACAATTTCCACAGCTGAATATGAAGCAGTGACCACAAAGTAAACTCGGAAACGGAGAACCTTCTGTGCTCCTGCAAGTATCCTGTGAAAGCCCGCCTGCCCGCCCACGCTAGCCCCAGGGCCCTCTGTGAGCCAGCTCAGGGCACAGTGGTGGCACAGAGCAGAGGGGCAGTGGGACTCCACCTGAAGCTCCTTCTCCCTCAGCAGTTCCTGGAACACCTTATGTCTCCACAGACAGAGGGCGGCCAGCGTCCAGTCTGCAGAAGGCAGGCACAGGGGTCTCCACGGAACATCCTCCACAGTATCCACACAGGGAGGCTCTCGGGCTTCAGAGAAGAGTCTCAGCACAACAAACTGGAACTGAAAATAGACCTGTTTCTCCTCAGACACTCAGGAAGACATGAACAACATGGACTCTGGCTCGTGTGGACACACTTGACCACAACTCCAGCCACACACCTCAGCGCAGAGCCCTGCATGGAGATCCCACACCAGACTGGCTGAGAGTCCTGCACACCTACCTCCCAGGCCCCCACTATCCCCAGCACCTGCACTGAATGCCTGCTGGTTCCACATGCGAGCTTACTGGGATGAACCCACTCTTCTTTCCCATCAAGAGACTAAGCTGTTCCCCAAGCTCAATGAGCATGTACAGATAGGCTAAGTCTGGGTCAGAAGCTGGCCCACACTCTCCTGACAGCCAAAACAGTGCTGGCAAGGTAGTGCCCCCATGCTGCAGTGTTTGACCCAACATACTTGGTCTTTAATGAGCCCCATGTGGGGTCTGCTCCAGGGATCACCACTGTGCAGTGTGTCCAAACAGTGCCACCCAGTGTCCTGTAGCCCTTTCTCCATTTCTACTACTCTTCAGAGGCACCTGGTGGTGGCCCTTCAATACTGTGGACATCACTATGACCTGAAATAGCACCCCAAACCCCCAGGAGCCATCTCTGACCCAGGGAGCTGTCCCTGATGCCTGCGAGAGCCACCCCTGACCCCCAAGAGTCACCCCAGGCTCTGACTTAATCCAACTGGTCAAGCCCAGGAATCTGCATTTTCAAAAGCTTCTCCATCTAATTCCTCTTACCGTGATTCAGGAGTCACCATTTGCCTGCATGTTTAAGATTTCTAAGAGCCCCCCCTTGAACTCTTCTGTGCTCTGATGAGTCTTTACCACGTGGAAGCCCTGTGTGGAGACCAAGTGCTCCTCCCTCACCTGTGCTAATTTTCAGCACCTGGCAGTTGGCAGTGCTGTGTTGTTACTATCACCTCATGTACAGAAGTGGGGAGACATGCGGAGTCTGGGGGCTCCACTCAATTAGAGGCAGATACTGAGCAGACTCACCTTCTTCACGAGGCCTGGAGGCACTTGGCTGGGCACAGTGGCATCCGACTTAGAGGGAGGTCTGCACAAGGCATAAGAAATCACTGCTGTACAAAACCTAGGAAAGAAACCAGAGGCCATGTAGTCCACATAATGCCCAGCTCAGAGGAGGTAGGCTGGACAGCACAGATGAATCTGATGAATTCTTAATGGCACCACAGTGTGCACGTGCACTGGTCACCCCCTGGCATGTCTCAAGCAGACACTGGGACACTTGAAACAGCAGAAATGGGCTGAAGATGAGGTGGGGGTATGTTTAGAGATGGAGGACAATGATAGCCTGGAGGCCCTATGTGCGTGCCTTGGAGTCTCACAGAAAGGGCTCAGCTGACCTCTGTGAGTGTACGCCATCACACCACCTAATGTGGCTACCGGGCTGGACACAGGCCCGTCTGAGGCAGGCCTTGAGGAATGCCCGAGCCCCCAGCAGTCGCATCTTCCACCCCTAAGTACCACCTCTCCATCCATGACCCACAGTCAGACCCAGGACTGGAACCACAGCTGACTAGCCACAGGATGACAGCAGAGAGTGACCACCATGACAGCAAGAGCACTAAAAGACGTGGGTGCTGTTTACAAAACACCAGTGACTTCCACAAAGACTGAGTAACAAGGTCCTATCCTAACATACAAAGACATCACGCCTGCAAATACTCCCCAGCACACACACATACCCATTCATACCCATTCACACACACCCCCAGCCACTCATGCGTATGCACCCCCCATACATTCACACCCACCCCCCACACCCGTGCATGCACATACACACACCCCAGACATTCACACCCCCCCACACCACACCCCCAGCCACTCATGCGTATGCACCCCCCATACATTCACACCACCCCCCCACACCCGTGCATGCACATACACACACCCCAGACATTCACACCCCCCCACACCACCAGCCACTCATGCGTATGCACCCCCCATACATTCACACACACACCACATACCCGGCCACTCCCGCGCGTGCACATACACACACCCCAGACATTCACACCCCCCACACACACACCACCAGCCACTCATGCATATGCACCCCCATAGACATTCTCACACACACACACTCTCCCTCTTTCTCTCTCTCTCACACACACACACAGACACACACACACACTCTCCCTCTTTCTCTCTCACACACACACACACACACAGAGTCAGACCAAGGAAGACATCTTGCCTGCTGGCAAGACCTGTGCCAGGTAGGTGGCACAACTCCTCCCACAACACATGAGCTGCAGGTGCCCCTCAGAAAAGGGTGGGAGCTCCTGCCGGCAGGGCTCACCTCACACAGAAGAGCAGAGAGTCCCTGGTTCTGCAGGGTAACAGGTTGTCCAGGAACTCAGCCATGGAGAGGCTCTGGGTGGAAGCAGGTGGGTTCAGGTCCACGTGTGGCAATCCTGGCCCTGACCTGGCCAGGTGGACAGCCAGCGCTGCGAGCCCCACCACGTGGAAAGCACTCAAATGAGGACCCTGGAGTGGATAGAGGGGCATGCCAGGAGAGGGGCACTGGATACCCCACAGCTGCCACCCTGGGACCACAGAGTATCACTGCTGCCTCATTCTCACCAGTACTCCATCTCACTGGAGACATGGTGTTCTCTTTGTGGGGCAGTGATGAAACAGACCCCTTATCACACAGGTGATATGGTCATCCTCCATCAAGGACACGCTTCCTTGTCTGAGCACTGGCCTGGGGTTGGCGGCAGCCACACTCAGGACTTACCTGGTAGAGCAGCAGCTGGCACAGGCGAGTCAGCACCAACGGCAGGAGCTTGTGTCCACATAGTAGCTTCACTAAAAGCACTGCCCAGGATCCCTGACTGCGGAGAGTGCCCGGTGAATTGGGCCCTCCCTCAATACAGGAGCCCTGAGTCACAATCTGCCCCCATCAATGATAGCTGTGTGTTAGCAGGAAAACAGGACAGTCAGGGCTGAGCCAGAGGCCTTCCTCAGTTTGGAAGCCCAAGGCAATGAGGTCTGCACCCAAGAGAGCTGTCGTTTGTTGGGGGAAGCTGGTTGCAGCTTACCAGCCTACAAGGTGGCAGGATCCCTGCCTAAGCCATGAAGGAAATTCTAGGTCCCCAAGAAGCTAGCGAATGCTCTACCTGTGTGGTGGGGCAAAGCTGGATGCAGCCACGAGGCTCTGGCAGAAGTTGGTGAGCAGCAGATCCACAACCTGGGAGGAGACAAGGCCGATGTAATGTTCATGTCCAGGGCGTGTATCACGTCACAGCCAAGGACAAGCCAGGCTACGGACTCCAGTTCACATAGTGTTGATACCTGTCGATACCTAGTGTCGATGCCATAGTCAGTACCTGAGGCCATGGCCACAGCAGCCTGGTGTCTCTAAGAAAACCAGGACCACCGCCTTCCTCCTCACAGCAGGACAGAATGTTTTACTCCCTTATACGTGATACACGTGATCTGTTGTACACACTTCACGTTCCCGCCAGACAGGCAGCCCACTCCTCATACAAACATAACATGTGCAAATAAAGGCAGTCTGAGATGTCCTGTGCATGCAGCCAATCCCCGAGCTCTCCCACACACCTCCTGCTCTGGCCTCTTCAGCTCTGGAGCAAGAAGGTCAAGCTGAATCTTTGGTGTTGCGACATCATCTTCCCTGAGACCCAAGGCAGTGTGCACTCGATCAGAAATGATGGCAATGTGTGCGGACACCACTGTGGATGGGAGAGGGCATGGGAGGAGGCTGAGGCTATACGCCTGTGGACAGTACAGCCTAGTCCCATATGTCCCCCCCCCCAGGAGATCTCTGCAGCCCAGCACTGGAGGATAAGATGCCCCCTGCACTCACCCAGGCTACAGAGAAATCCTTATCATCTCAAGGATGCAGACGGAACTCTGGCCCCAGTAAGGAACCAGCGGCATAACCCAAGCCAGCACCACAAACGATGTGGACCTGCTGCTCTGACCTCAGCCCGACCCTGTCACGGAATCCTCACCATCATGCTGCATAGGCTCTGTCATGCCATCTCTGAGTGCTCCTAGCACAGCCTCAAGTGCACCTAGGGCACCTTCAGCACAGCTGGGCTCGGCCTCCATGGGGGCTGCAGAGGGGATACAGGACGGGGTCACTGCAGGGCCTTTGATCATCCATGTGCAGAGACAACTGCCATCCTTCCATGGTGCTGGCTGGCATTGGGGTATCTGTCGTGTGATGGAAGCCACTCTCCGACATGTCACAGCAGAGCCGACAGTTACGAACAAAGGTGACTAAGTGATACCACCACCAAGAAGGTGTTAGGTGAGACCGAGGAATGACTGACCAGATCTGTGGTACCAACATTCAAGAACACACAGGCCACGGGAGACTTGGGACTGGCCAGATGTTGCAGTACTTACACCTAAGAGCATGCAGGCCAAGAGACATTGAGGACTGACCAGATGCTGTGGTAACAATATCCCTAAGTGACCAACCCAAAGACTGTGGTATCAACACCCCTCAGAGCATGGTGGCCAAGCCAGGCCAAGGACCACTACTGTGTCATGGGCAAGGAGAGAGTCACCAGCCCTTTCTCCCCATTAGGGCATCAGGAGACAGGCTGAAGAATCCAGAAAATACAATGTTACCTTCTCTCACCTCTTTACAGATTTAACACAAAAGATGGGATATATGAGCAAACACTTTCAAAAAAAAGGTGTGTTGTTCAAGGTCTAGGATGTCCGCATTACAAAGGAGGATGTGCTTGCTCTCTCTATGTCTCCACACAAGGCCCAGCTCTGGTGCCACGAGTGTTGGGAGAGACTTTGTCTAGTACACTGTCATGTGGGCTCAATCAGGAAACCCAAAGTGAGCAGGGTTCAGAGGTATCTGCTGCTAACACCTATCACATAAATCATTTGAAAAGGTTTCATTCTCTGCCACTGAGTCACTGAGTCGGTTCTGATCTTCCATCCGGTTTTCAAGGTAAATTCCAACAGAAGGAGTCTGCCCATGTTTCTCCAGTGGAGCAGTGGTGGGTCTGAACCACTGGAGGTGAGGACACTACTCTGTGAGAGCATGTCATCAGAGCTTCCTGGAAGGCCATTCAGAAGCCCCCAAAGTAGGGTCCTGCAGTAAGGAGGCCTAGGCCACGGGAGAGGGAGTGTGGGGTGGCCAGCCAGCCCCGGCAAGGTGAGGTATGGCACCTCCCCACCCAATCCAGCACAACTAGCGCCTGAGCTTATGGGCACTGCCTCAGGTGTAGACAGCTCAGGCCCACTTCTCCGTACTCTTTACTTGGAAGCCAAATAGCTAACCCAGCAGACAGAGCAAGAGAATGGTCAGCACATGGAGAGGTCGCCTCACTCGGGCCCTGCAGCTATAGACGGAACTCGACAAACAGAATGATGGTACTATCTCACGGCACCTTTGATGGACAGGTCTAGGGGAGAAGGACAGAGTGTAGGAACCCCAGTGATGGTCCACACACCACTGACTCAGTCATATGTCTCTTCGGCATTCCAGTTTTCAAATTCAGACCACATGCAGATAGCTGCCCTGTGCATGGTCCCTATGAGAACCCAAGGCCACATTCAGTGTGCCACAACAGACAGGAGAGACAGACAACATGTAGATCCTCAGTAAATGACAAGTGACAACTCTGGGTCTTGCATGCATGGGACACTCTCAGGAAGAGCATAGGCTGACAGCTAAGGCTCTATGAGGAACAGCTAACACATAGTATTGCTTGAAGCACTACGAGGACCCAGCAGGGAGCAGTCACCTAGGCCAGTCTGTCCAGCAGTAAGGTTGAGGGGGAGCAATCTGATCAGAAGATCTGGGAGGACCAGTGGAACCTGGTATTGACCAATGGGACCCACTGTCCTCTAGTAATATATGCCCAGTCCCATCTATCTACATAGACCTGGTGTCCTCCAGTGAGACACAACAAGTCCCATCTATCTATATAGAGCCAGTGCCCTCCAGAGACACACACCTGGTCTCATCTATCTATACAGAGCCACTGTTCACCATTGAGACACACCTGGTACCATCTATCTACACAGATTCAGTGTCCTCCAGAGACACACCCTGGTATCATTTATCTAGAGACTCTGGTATTGTCCAATGAGACCAGGTGTCACGTGGAAGAGGTGGTGTTAGTTAAAGAGGCTAAGAGATTGCAAGGGACCTTGAAGGAGCATGTTATCTTGTGAGACCCAGAATCAAGAAAGAGGACAGAATGCAGACTGAGATGACCCTTGGTGGACCTTACTCTCTGGTTTCTTCTCTTCAGCAGTGGAACAGGCTTGGTGGTAGCTCGAGTACAGTGACAGAGGAATTTTATCGGCTCTAGATCAGAAAAAAATGTGAACACAAAGTCAACTCATCTGTGATTCAAAGTCATTGTCAAGGTTACAACTGAAAAATAAGTGGAATATATATAAGTGAACAATAGACTAAATTCGAATAACCCAACAAGTCAGTACAGTAGTTTTTTCAAGAAAAACATCACGTGAGGGTGTACACTGTTCGAAATATCGACTGAAGTCTCACAGCATGTCCCCCATGAGTCCCTGGCAGGACATACCACACAACACATACAGACTTTAATCTCCAAATCACAGTCACCCCACCCCGGGTCTCTGAGGTCATGAATTGCTCTGAGAGAAGTTACAACCACCTTTCTCCCACAGAAAAAGTGGTGCATTTGAAACATCAATCTTTTTGGTAAGCAGCCCTACTAGTATGCTGTTGTTAGGAGCCCTTGAATTGAAACCAACTCATAGCTGACCCTCCAGAAGATTTTCTGTGGCTCGAAATCATATGAGAGGAAGACTGTCCAGTTTTTTTCTGTTGAGCAGCTAGTGGATTCAAACTGTGTGTCTTTGGGTTGGCAGCACAGCCTCTTACCAGTAGGCCACCAGACATCCACACTATTTTTAGCTCTTTGATTTAATTTTTAGTAATTTCCAAATTCTAACATATACTAATTAGCAAGTAATACTAAGAGAAACACACCAATCATCACCTTTAGAAAAATGGAAAAACTATACATGTCCTAGACAAGGACTTGAAAGTCTCAGGCAGCCTCCGCTGGCATCCAACACGGCGGACAGTCTGCACGGCCAGCGCCAGCACCGCTGTTACCCTTTCCACCAGAGGTCTCCAGGGGGCACTGCAGACATACCACAGGGGGACCGTGTCCCATGACCAAGAAGACACAGAGGGGATGCCTAACAAGATCAAGACCACGACTAAGAAGCTGCAAGACCCACTCCCAGCCCTGGCCCTGCGCTACACAGCGACAGAACCTGGAGAAGTAGAGTGAGGCACAGAGGCAGCCATGAGAGAGCCACCATGACAACCTAGTCTGACCGACAAGGTCCAACCAGTCAACTTCAGCTGACGTTTTATAAAAATATCTACACTGAATCAGTTCTGCTACTTAGAAACTGTCGGCACGAGGCCAGGTCAGTGTACTGTATACCTTTTCAGGGACTCGATGAAGGCCACACGGAGGTCAGGGATCTTAGGCAGCTGTGAGAACCGGAAAACGAATGAGATGCCATACAGTACACAGTCTCCAGGCGGCACGAAGTATGGGGTCTACATACTGACCACTCGTGGTGTGAGCAGGGCGGGCAGGAAGTGTGACAGGTAGTAGGGCCTCCTGAAGATGCTGTGACACAGAAGAGCAGGTGGTCAGGCATGTAGTCAACAGAGACCCCCAGGAGTACAGGCACTCCTCTCCTCTCACGGCTGGGACAGTGTATCGAGTACAAGGTCTCTTTTTCCCACTGTTTCAGGAAATGTCATCAAAGAATCTGGGACACTGCTTATTTTGCACCTCTGGGCCCACTCTGTATCCCTAGCCAGTGACCCTGGAACACTGCCACCCTGTACCCCAGTTCTGTTCACCAGTCCCTTGACTTTGCCAGCCTGGTACCCCAAATCTGTGACCCTGAGATACTGTCCACTCTGCAGCCCTGTTCTGTACCCTTGAGCCCACTCTGTACCCTAGTTCTATGAATCTGGGACACAGCCTACTCTGCACTCTGGCAGGGACATGGCTGGTCTCTTCTCAGGCCCTGTGGACATTTTCCTTGGAGCTGCTCTCTGCATTCTGTAAAATGAAATTAGTTCAAAGTCCTCAGTATCAGGATTTTAAATGCCTGCCCCCTACGGAGCACACAGGTAGCAAGCTGACTTCAAATGGGTTTTGGACCAAATCAAATTCGGTCTAAGTCGACTGCTGAGCTCCTCCACTGACTGCGTAGCAATCACCACGTATGTACCCGTGCTGCTCTACATGGGGTCTGTCCACATCCACTACGATGAAGTAGGCCAAGAGATCAGTGCAGAGCAGGCCCACAGACCTGTTCTGGAAGAAATGGTCTCATAGTCCAGGCCTCTACTTTGACCAAGTGCAGGCTCTAGCCCCCCAGTGGAGCATGGGTTAAGACCGTAAACAAGATGTCTCCCTTGTGCAGCTGTGCCGACAGGTAGGGTATGCTCACCTTGCCTCCATCACAGGAGCTGGGATCTTCCCTGTGTGTGCAAACACCTCGAGAGCCCTCTCCACATCCTGGAGTGCTTGGCTGTGGGGCTGCCAAGAGTGGGCGAGGGAACGGAGGAGTCAGATGAAGATATACCCTACCTCTGCACGAGATGAAGGTCAAGGGTGTGGGTGGCCCAGGAATCCCCACAAACCCCTGAAAGAAGGGTAATCACAGTGCTGCTGCACTCAGAAACTAAGGAGTTTGGAAACTTGGTCTCAGGAAGTTGCAGCACCCTTGGCTAGGTAGAAGGGGTGCTTGGGCCACTTTCTCTGACCAAGTGCCACTGCCATGTCCCATCCCACCCGCTCTGGGCTCCCTTCCCATTCCCCTTCCACCTGCCCATGGGGGAGCAGTCTGGATGGACCTAAACACCTCAGGTAGAAAGAAAAGATACTTAACAGGGTTTGGGAACAGCAAGGTATTTTCAACAGAAATCTACATGACATCAAAGACTGTACATCATCTAGAAGCAAAGTGTGTTGAAGTGAAAAAGATACTAAAGCCAGAAGAGGTTCCTCTTCCCAGGGACTGGCCATAGCACAGCTCACAAACAAGGACTGTGTCACCCCTGCTGCCCAAACAAGCAGACCCTCCTCCAAACCCCGTCACTGAGGTTCCTGAGTGACACTTCAAGCGCTGGGGATATGTGCTGTCAACCCCTCCTGACAGGGCCTTCTGTCATGGCATTCACAGCACCTGCTGGGACATCTGTTCCCAGGATCACACCAGCCCAAACCTGCACAGGTCCAACTATCCACCACACACAGAAACTGTTTACTCTGGACCAAGAAGACAGGACCCTGGACTAAGCCAGCTCACCTGTGTGCTACCTGCTGATGACAGGTCCTCATAGAGCCCCATGTCCTCTATAGAAACCTTCCAAGGAGACAGGAAGAGGTGTGAGTACATGGAGGGTAGCCATCAGTAGGACGCTGTGCAGGGAGTCTGACTTGCCTTGAGGTCAGCCAATCGTGTTCGGGCCAGAGTGACATAGTCAGTGAGCAGGGGTCGCAGTCTTTCTGGGACCAGAGGTGGGTAAAGCATGTGCACCTGGCAGAGACACGCATGTGAGGGCTAGAACATCCACTCTCATGAGGACTTGAAGGGCAAGACACAACCCAGTTCTCAGAGCTGCACAGGCAGCATGTCAGAACAGACCAGAGAGAAGTCAGTCTGGCCAACCCTCAGGGACTAAGGCCAGGGGGCTGAGGTCATGTGGGAAGGTCAGGATGGCAGTGCTGTCAGAGAGACTGCAAGAACAGGAAGGGCAGAGGAGATAATGACCTCACCCAAAAGACTGTCTCAAGGTCAATCCCAAATAAGAACCCAGACAAAGTGGAGGGGCTGAAAGGTGAAAGGAACAGGGGTCAGTAAAGGACTGAGAGGGAAGGGGGTGTGAGGCAGGGGATAGAGTAGGGCAGAGAGGGAATCGGGTGAAAGAGGAGGGGTAAGAGGAACAAGGGTCAGAGGCGAACTGAGGGGAGGGAGTGAAAGGGTCGGGGGTCCGAGGTGGACTGGGAGGGAAGGTGGAAGGGGAGCGTGTGAGAGGGTCGGGGGTGAAAGCAGAGCTGAGAAGAGAGACCATGAGGGGAGATCCTCCTCTCTGACCAGACAGCAACTTGGTGACAATGATGTCAATGACAAAAACAAACAGAGAGATGTCTCTGGGATCTCACTCACTGAGTCCCACCCACTCTCTATCTGCCACCCTCTCTAACCCTGCGCTACCGGAGGTGGGAAAATAGATCTGAGTGGCCTGCAGAACTGTGGAGCCCCTCACCTTCAGGTACTGAGGGCCTTCAAAGGGCACAAGGTCCGACAGGAATGTGAAGAGGAACACCACTGCCTTCTTGCTGTGGGCATGGGGGCCACGGGCACTGCCAAAGGTGGCCTGGAGGGGACACAGGCGTGAGTCTGGGCATCAACCCTCCAATCTGACCACTGTGAAAATTGACACAACTGTCCACACATCAGGACACCTGCTGTTGCTGCACAAGCTGCAGCTAGAACTCTGTGGACGAGTGCAGTGGCCAGGAGACTACGCCAATGGCAGCTTTCCACAGAATGGCCATGCATGCCCTCATGAGGGTCTCTCCACTTGAAAAATATCACAGTCACCCTTGTGGGGCCTTTGCTTGTTAGGAGGGGAAGGCGGGGCTGTCTAGGGTATCAGCCCCAGGGATCCCGCAGATGAGAGGAGGGCTGTCTGGTCATCAGCTCTAGTGTTCATATAGAGGGAAGGCCATGAGTACACCAGAGCAGACCCTCTCTGGCCAGGGTGGCCACTGCTGGGCTCAAGAAAGGAGGGTCTCCCAGGATTGGAGGGAATGAGGGGGACTGGCAGTCTCTCCCTCCGCATGACTATAGGTACTACCCTATTCCAGCAGGGATTATAAGAGAACCACATGCAGATGGACAATACAGAGCCCAGGTGATGCCTGTGGTTTTAGAAAAAAAGATCTCAGTCTTGTAGGGTCTGAGAAGATAGGAGTCTAGGACTTCCCCCACATGCCCACCTCTCCACCCGCTGGCCCCGAGCACGCACCTTGAACCAATCCACATAGGGGGGGAACATGTTGGGACCCTCCAGTGCAGCCTGGCGCACAATCAAGAAGGCAGGGACCAGGCTCTCCAGGTCAAAGCTCTCAAATGCACGGGATACCAGGTGAGCCACCCAGTCTGGGGAGAAGCCACAGGGTCAAACAAGACAAAGATCCCATGGGGAGAAGCCACATCTGTTGTGCTAGTGGTATCTGGACACAGAAGAGCACACGGATGCACACCTCATGGCCCCAGGTAAGCTGTGATGGAGACTGGTGCACTCCTGCACAAATTAGCTTATGCCTAGTGGCTATCTAGTGACCTATACACAGGTTAAACACAGGTGCATGCAAACACATGTGTGCACACACTGACAAAGCATGACTCAAGTCTCTGCTGATACGCACCTGTGACAAGCTGCTGTGCATCTGGGAGGCAAATGATCAGGGTGGACACACAACACAGCACGTGCTGCCAGTTCACCTCATGCATGTCTATAACTTCCTGCAGGTGGCCAAGCAGCTCCTTGGGACTTAACATCATGAAGAGCTGAAACAAAAGTGGCCGATTCCTTTTTGTGGGAGCAAGCCCTCAGCAAAGACTGATCTCCCTCACCTCATGGCCACTCCACACTCATCAGAAAGGACTGAGATTATGGCGGAGTGGCCTTGGATGCTGGACAAGTTTTCCTTCCTTAGGTATTTCAGAAACGGTGAGTGAGAACTGATGTGTGCCACGGACCTGGCCCCAAAGCGGGCTGCCTGTCAGGTGACTCCACATCAACCATCTAACAAGGGTTAAGGGGCCCAAGAACTGAAGCCTCATTACCTGCACATGGCACTCAGGAGTAAGCAGGGGGACACCCACCCTGTGGTGCAGGCCACTGAGCAGAGGGGAACAGTGAGGAGTCCCGTGGGAACACCTACCTTGTGGAATAGGCCGCTGAGCAGAGGAGATGTCCTTGCAAAGCTCCATTCTCTCTGCCTCTGAATGGCATCTGACACTGCTTGAGAGATCACCAGGAGCTCAGCAGTATGGCCAACATGCATCTGCAGGCCGACACTGAGTTACACTGTACTGACTGCTTTCTTCTGTCAGCAAGGAGGACTTTTTGACGAGCTGTTTTCTGTTAGAGACCGTCTTCAGCTCAGCCATGGGCCTGGGTCTCTCGACAGTAGTACACATTGTTTTCATAAAAACAGGGCTCCTTTGCCCATGTTGCCAGGCGATTCACATTCTCCTGCATGAGTGCCTAGTATTCCACTAAGTATGAACCCTAGGAATGTGCTATGACGAAGGGCGAGCACAAAGACTTGGGACATGATATGACCATGGGTGAGCATGATGACCTGGGACAAGCTATGACCACAGGTGACCATGGACTTGCAGGAGATGCTAGGACCATGGGTAAGCAAAGTGACCACAGGTGAGCACTGTGACACAGAACAGGCTGCTCTGTCACTGTCCCAGAGTCTACAGCATCCATGCCTCCATGTATTCCATCCACAAAAGACAGCACCATGAACCCTGTACCAAGGAGTAACCCAAGAGAATGTTACTGAGGTCACCATGTCCCCATGGGCTATGACACTGCCCCTCACCAGGCACCCACCTCTCAGCACGGGGTTATGGGTGAGAATCTGCGTCAAGGTGTGGGTGAAAAATCGCCTTGGGGTCTCTGGTGTTGCTGTGCTGCCATAGTTGTGTCCACTGAATATCCTGAGCCTATGAATAGGGGAGATGGCTCAGAAGGGGCACTATGGCTACCCTCAGTGTCTGAGGGTGACCAGGACTGTCCCTACATATGAGGCTGCAGTCACCAAGGCACAGGCCCACAGCCCCAGAACCCTTCTGCTTCAAAGCCTGGGTAGGTTCCCTAACCAACAAGTTCAGCTTCAGCAGGAAAAACAATGGGGCTGCCAAATAGTCAGGACACCCTGCAGGATGGCACGGGGGCTACATCCCTCCACTGGGATCAGGACTCAGGGTGCTATCAGGGTCACATGCTCCTACAGGGGACAAGACTCAGAGTGCCATCAGAGTCACATGTGCCTAAAGGACTCTGGGAACAGTAGAGTCTCAGAAGAAGTTGACTGTGTCTCCAGGAAAAAAGACCTCCGGACTTCTAAGTGACATCTGATTTTAAAATGCTGGCAGCTAATAAAAACATTTACAAGCCAACAATCAACAGGAACCTGGCCAGACCTGGGGTCCAAGCAGAGACCACAAGCAGATGCAGGAGTGAGCAGAAACTGAGTGGAAAGGGAACACTCTGGGGCTCATGGAAGGAAGATGACTAGCAGGGATCCTGGAGTACGAGCTGCTGCGGTCGCGCCACACCATCACGGGGCTTCTACCCGCCCAATGACTCACCAGCATGGGGCAGGCCCCAGTGTGGCAGAGGCCTCTTGCTCACTAGCAGTCACAGCTTCCAGGGTGGCTGGGGACAGACATAGGGATGGAACGTAGACGTGAGCTCCAAGGGCCCCAGCACCTCCACTGTGCCAAGCAGGGCTGCAGAAACGCTTAGTAAGTGCCTCTAGTTTTCCTTGACCTGAAGGAGGGCACCCGAACACTAACTCCTCAGGCCACTGTCAGTGATGATCCTGGGCTCGCCGCCTCACATGCACAATAACCCAGTTATCTGGCCAGGTCATGGCCAGCTCTGGGTGGGCGAGCAGGATGTGAAGACCCAGGGGTGTGGGGCAGCAGAGAGTACAATGACACCAGGATGAAGGGCGAATGAGGAATGCAGGGCACAATGATGCCAGAATGGAGGGGAATGGGTGGGTGCACGAAGCACAATGATGCCCTAGTGAAGGGGGAATGGGGTGCAGGAGCACAGGGCACTGATGTAGGTGTGCAGACGCCTGTATAGGGAAGGGTCCTAAGGTGGGACACTGAGCAGGGGAGACAAGCTGGAGGGAGGGACATGAGTGCACTGGGAGAGCCTGTGAGGGGAGGCATGCAGGACACTGCTGAGGAGGGACAGGAGGCCCTGGCAAGGGGGGTTGTACAGGACACAGCAATCCAATTCTAAGGGCCATCACAGACGTTTGGGTAACTAGATATACTCCCAAATATGCTTGCTGATGATTCCAACCCAACAACCGAGTGACTGGAAAGAGACCACTCACTTCTGGTTCATCTCCTATACGCTGACACTAGGGAGCTGCTCCTTCAGTAACTGACAATGAGAACCTCTGGTCCGGAGCTCAAAACCCAGAACCGGCTCTCATGCCACAACCCAGTGGAACTCACAACTGAGGTGAGTTCACAGAGCGACGGTCAGAAAGTAGCCTCAGCACCCACTGGTTGCAGGAGGTGGACAGAGAAATGCCAATTGCCCGGAAGGAACCCTCAGCACAGCACATCGCCAGCACTCACTATTCAGCAGGCTCTGCAGGACCGCAGTGGACACCTATGGGGACAGGGACTACATGACTGAACAGTATACACAGACTGACCCTGCACTACAGGTGCTCCAGCCAGGATGGGCTGTGAACCTCCAGAGCTCAAGAAAGGGAGACAGGGTCTGAGGTGCTATACACAGTGATCTCCAGAGGCCGGGTCAGGGGCCAAGGTGCTGCACGCATTGACTCCAGAGCCCAGGACAGAGAGACAGGACACCGAAATGCTGCATGCCATGACTCCAGAGCCCGGGACCAGGAGACAGAAGGGTGGAGAAAACTAAACGGACAGAGTCCTAGGGCGAGGCCTATGGAGGCACTCAAGCATGGGGGCATTCCAAGTGGCTTCTCCCTCCATCACCCCTACCTGGGGCAGCTTCTCCTGTTCCACATCTCTTCTCAGATCCGACTTTTCCTGAAATCCCGTCAAAACAAACATGCGTACAAAATCTGAAAATGACAAAACCAAGCTATTTGTACACAGCCTCTGCCTCCCAAGGAAAGTGGCTGGCACGCCACTATGTCAAACGGGTGAGGGTATTTGCAGGCCAAAGTTGACCATTCAGGTTTGGTATATGCCATCTTAAAGGGAAACACCCATTAAAGTTTATCATGAAGGCTATTTTTTTCCTCTAAAGACACAAAACGGCTGTCCATTTCCAAGGGCTATGGTGGGGAGCAGGGAGTTCCTGACGGCCTAGTCACACTATTCAAATGCACCAGGTGCTCTGTGGCAGAAAGATGGGCAATCTCCCCAGGGATTGATTACCTCTGAAAACCTGCTAGAGGGTCAGCTATGAGTTGATTCTGACTAGATGGGATACAACAACAGTGGGGACAAAGCTCACCAAAATCCCACTTCAAAAACTGACATTTACAGGGGGATGCACCATTCTGGGCAAGAGACATTAAAAAGATTCACCTCTTAAAAGGAATACAATCAAAGCAACTGAAGTAAAAGACTTTCTGCCAAGTCTACATTTATATCAAAATGTCAAAAGCTTTCTTTACTATTTAATATTTAAT